CGGCGAGCGCACGGGGATGGCCGCGGACGGCGCGGCCGCGCGGGGCCCGCTCAGGGCCGCGCCGGCGGCGAGGTCCGCGTCGAGCGCGGCGGCGAGGTCCGCGCCCGCGGCGTAGGCCCGGGGCCGCGCCGCGACCTCCTCCGCGTGCGCCGCGCGCCGCGCGGCCTGGCGCGCGCGGCGGTCGCAGGCTTGTCCGCGCAGCCCGGGCTGAAGGTCGGCGCGGGCTTCTCCGGCGCCGCCGACGGACCCGCCGCCGCGCGCCGCTTCGCCGCCATGGCGGCCTTGCGCTCGTCCTTCTTCCGCCGCGTGAGCGACGCGGCGTCGCCGCCGCCGTCGAGGCCCTTCAGCCGCCGCGCGCGGCGGATCGCCTCCGTGAACTGGTCCTGCAGGCTCGTGCCGTAGGCCCCCCGCCCGGCCGCGGCGCAGGGCACTTCGTTGCCCCGCTCGTCGACGCAGACCTCGGCGCTCGGCGCGACGGGCTCCTGCCGCCCGGAGCGCCGCGGCTCCAGCGCGCGCGATCGCGTTGAGGCGAGCGCGATCGCGACGGCGCGCAGGAGGGCGCGCATGAAGGTGGGCGCGCAAGGGCGCGAGCCGAGTCGCGGAGGTGCCGGACGGCGCGCGCCGCGGGACGTACGACGAGGCGAAATAATTCAGGCGACAAGAAGCAAAAACCGCGGGCTGCTTATTGAAAAAGAGGTACAGCTGTATTGTGAAGCTGTGTTGAAGCATCCTCTCGGCGTCCGCGCTACAATAGTAGGCGAGCGGCGCATTTTGCAAGTGCCATCGCTTGCCCTCGAAAACACTTTGCTACCGGTATACCACGGGCTCGCGACCCACGCTGCAGCTTACCGTTTCTCATGAAGCGCACGCACGAAGACGCCGAAGCCGGAAGAGCGACGGCACCGCCACGAGACCTGTACGAGGAGCAGCCGAGAAGCATCCTTGGCGACGTCCACGCACGGCGATGCCTGCGGCTTCGCCGCGCGTTGCCGCGCCTCGAGATGCCGTGCGCGCGGGCGACGGCGGAGGTGGGCGTCCTGCTCATGAGGAAGGGCGTGCCTCGCGATGTCGTCCGCGACGTCTACGCGCTCGCGCGCGGTCTGCGGGACCCCAAGGACCCCGCGGTCGTCGCCGCGAGCGACGACGCGTTCCTGGCCGCCGGGCCTCTTCGCGAATCCGCCGAAGGGTTCGACGGCCCCTTCCCGAATCCGCCACTGATCCCGGGCGCGCTCAAGAAGGCCCTCCGGGAGGCGCTCTCCGGCCGCGCGGGCCTCACGGACGTCGGCCGGTCGCTGACGCTCCTCGCGGAGGCGCCGGAGGCCTACCACCTCTCGGAAATCTACGGCTGCGACGGCCCGCCGGACGCGCTTTACTCCCCACTCTTCCCCTGGGAGGCCACGTTCCCGGGGCTCGTGGGGTGCTCGACGCTCACCGTGCGATCCACGGTCGGCGTCGAGCGCGACGTGTCCATGGGCGGCGACGCGCGCCGGATGCTCGAGACGAGCTACGAGCACGCGGAGCGGGGCACCTTCGCGCTCCCGCCCGCGGAGCGGACCTTCGCGTCTCCCCGGCACGCCCGCGGCGCGTACTTCACGGTCGCCGAGCTGGCGCTCGCGGCGACGTCGCTGCCGGAGTCGTGGCGGCACCTGCCGCGCTACTACGACCTGACTTTCTGCGAGACGGGCGGCGACCCCTACCTGTCGCAGGGCCGCTTCAAGAAACTGAAGCGGCCGGACGCCTACTACGAAAAATATTTTATGACCGGGCGGAAGCCGACGACGGAGGACGACTGCGACGCGACGTTCGCCCCCGCCACGCTGGCTACCGACCTCGGGCGCGCGACGTTCGCGCTGGCGGAGGACGACGCCTCGCGCGGCGTGCTTTCGGTCGAGTGGGAGGTGTCCCACGGCGGGGCATTCGGCAACGAATCGATCAGCTTCTGGGACGAGCCCGCGTTGTGCGACAAGCCGGCGGCCGTCCTGGAGGCGTGGGACGCGGCGGAGGAGCTGCGGGGCGATCGCGGCGGGCTCGTCGGACTTCGCGAGCGCTGCGTCGACCGCGAGAAGTGGGCGCCGGGGTATGATCGCGACGCCTACTGACCCATTGCCGACCCTGCATGGCTCCTTGAGCACGCAAGGGACTGCAACACCGCAACCTGAACTCGCGCGCGCCGGGCAACTTCCTCGTTGAGTCTTCCAGACACAGGAGACGCCCCGCGCGCGTCAACAGCAAGCCGTTCATTCGGCACACAGCAACGCTGGTATAACCGGCACCAAGCAAAGCGTCTACACGACACGACCACAACAGCAAGCGGCTCGAACCACGAGCCGCCCCCTCGACGAACGATGACAGTCAAGCGCATTCTGATCGCGGCCCTCGCGGGCAAGGGTATCGCCCATCCCTCCAAGGTCCAATGCGGACAAGAATTGGCTGTCGGGCAAGTGAGCGGCGTCCAGTTTCAATCGAATCGCGCGCGCGGGGGATCGTTCGCACGTCGTTGAACCCGAGCCGCCATCGAATCGGAGCCGCGCGCCTTCATTGTGATGTACGGGCTAGAGAGTGTAGAATACGAAATTAATCAAATCCAAGATGCCCCGGACGCATACTGCTCACAGGTCCATCCTCATGGCCGGCCTGCCCGCCGAGGCGGAATCGGCCTTCAACTTCGCCGACTTCGTCATCACGCGGGCCGACGGCTCGCCGCTCCAGTGCGGCGGCACGTTCGCGCCCGGCGAGGCGCTCGACGTCACGCTCGCGGCGCCCGCCGGGTCGCTCTGGCTCCTCGAGGCGTCCCAGCCCGGCGCCTTCGCCGGCGGCTCCTGCGGCGGCCGGCGCCACTCCGCCGCGACGGCGGCGTCGCTCGCGGCGCCGGCGTCCGGCGAGCTCACGCTCAAGGCGGGCTTCGCCCGCGGCTACGGCCCCGTGACCATCGCGGAGCCCTGCACCCTCACGGCCGAAGGCTCGGCCGCGCCGACGCCCGCGACGGCCGCGCCGTCGCCCGCCGCGGCGGTCTACGAGACGGACGTGCTCGTCGTCGGCGCGGGCCTCGCGGGCGCCGCGGCGGCCTGGGCCGCGCGCGAGGAGGACCCCGCGGCGCAAGTCACGGTCAGCGTCCTGCGGCCGTGATGATTTTCGAGAGCTTTCGACCGGGAAAACGAAAAAAAATCGTTACCGACGCACTTGGTAGGTCACGGTCCTCGCCGCGAGCCTCGCGGACGTCACGACGGCCTACTCTGGCGGTTGGCTCTGGATTCCGAACAACATCCTCAACGACGACGGCGCGGACCCGCAGGACGACTTCGTCGCCCACGCGTCCCAGATCGCCTACCCCTTCGGCGGCGCGCCGGCCTGGGCCGAGGAGGGCCTCCGGACCTTCTGGACCCACGCGCCGGACGCCATGCGCTCCCTCCAGGACGCGCACGTCTTCAACTGGACGCTCCAGTACGACATGGAGGGACAAGCCTTCCCGGACTACTACGGCGCCGACACGTACCCGCGCAACCGGCTCCCGCGCGGCCGCGTGCTGCGCGCGTCGCGCGACGGCGCGGCCCTCGCCGGCGCGGAGCTGCTGCCCGCGCTCCAGGTGGCCGCGGGCGCGGACCGCACGCTCGAGGGCTACGTCGCCGACCGCGTCGAGGAGCGCGCCGACGGCTCCGTCGTCGTCACCGCGTCGTCCCTCGGCGGCGGGCCGGGCGTCGTCGTCGAGGCGGCGCGCGGCGTCGTCTTCGCGACGGGCGGCAAGATCCGCGGCCTCGGCGCCGCCAAGAACAACCACGGCCTCGAGGCGGAAGTCGTCGGCACGTGCGCGTCGCCCGACTCGAAAGGCGCGGCCCTCGACGCGCTCGAGGACCTGCCGGGCGTCGCCGTCGTCAACAAGGGCAACAGCTGGATGTACGAGGTCGACGCGACGGGCGCGAACACGATCTGGTTCCTCTGGTACGGCCAGCCCGGCGGCGACTTCTTCGTCGTCGACCGCCTCGGTCGTCGCGTCTACAACGAAGCCCTCTCCTACAACCAGCGCGGCGAGTTCCACGTCGACCGCGTCGTCGACGACGACGGCGAGAGCACGGTGAGGGACGCGGCCGACTCGTCCCAGCTCTTCCTCGTCTATGGCGACGCCGCCAAGGCGACGTATTCCTACCTCATCGACTCGCCGGACACGGTCGCGACGAACGTCTCCTTCGCGGCGGCCGACGTCGAGGCCGCGTCCTGGTTCTCCTACGACGCGCTCCACGCGGACTTTGGCGCGAACCTCCGCGCGACGCTCGACGACTTCAACGCCGCGGCCGCGGGCGACGGCGACGACCCCATGGGCCGCGGCGTGCCGGGGACGACGGCCTACGACTCGTCCATCGCCTGGTGGCAGTTCGCGTTCGTATATCTGGGCACATCGCCGCCCGACGACGTGCGAGGCAATCCGCTCACGCAGCCCTTCGCGAACGACGCGCTCTACGTGCGCCCGCTGAATTTCGGGTCCATCGACACGAAGATGGGCCCCAAGGCCGACAAGGACATGAAGGTCGTCGGCACGTCCAAGATCTACGCCGCGGGCAACGCGGCCGCGAGCCCCTTCGGGCAGACCTACGCCGCGCCGGGCAACACGCTCGGCTTCGCGCTCGTCTCCGGCTACGTCGCGGGCCGCGCCGCCGCGGGCCGCCGCGAGAACGAGGTCACCTACGAGGGCTTTCCGAAGCCCGTCGCCGCGGGCTACCGCAAGCTGCCCGAGTCCGGCGCGCACCAGGTGCTCCACCTCGCGTACCACAACGACACGGAGAACGTCGTCGTCGCGCGCAGCTACGGCGGCTTCCCCTGGGAGGGCGTCATGCCCGCGCCGCTCGCCGTCGCCTGCGACGCGGGAGGCTGCGCCGCGGATCTGCCGGAGGGGCTCTGGGTCGTGGGGTTCGAGGGCGGCGCCGCGGAGAAGCCGCGCGCGGCCGCGAGTCGCTTCCTTGGCGCGGCGACATTCGGACCCACGACGGACACCATCGCCGACCTCGTCGACCACTTCGGCGGCGACAAGCGCGGCTGGATCGAGGAGCAGATGGCGCTCCCGGCGACGCTGCACCGCGACTACTTCCGCAAGCGCGCGACGCCGCTCATGACGGAGACCTGCGACGCCGGCGAGGCCGGCGCGGACGAGACGCTCGGGGCCAAGTACAGCTGGTGGTACAACCGGAACTTCGACGGCCAGAGCGGCGTCGAGGTCCGCTACGACCGCCGCAACGGCAAGGGCATGGTCTTCACGAACATCGCCTTAGACGCCGAGGACCAGCTCCGCCAGCGCATGGCCTGGGCGCTCTCGCACATCTACGTCGTCGCCGTCGACGGCGTCGGGGAAGCGAACGAGGAGATCGAGGTCTGGCTGAAGTACTACGACATCTTCGTCGAGCACGCCTTCGGCAACCTGCGCGACGTGCTCCGCGACATCGCCGCGAGCCCGATGATGGCCGTCTACCTGACGTTCCTGGGGTCCGAGCAGTACCAAGGCGGCGACGCGTTCCCCGACGAGAACTTCGCGCGCGAGTTTCTCCAGCTCTTCACCATCGGCCTCCGCGAGATGAACGACGACGGCACGTTCACCGGCTACGAGACCTACGACGGCGACGACATCCTCACGGGCGCGCGCGCGTGGACGGGTTTCGACGTCCCCAAGCTCCGCGGCGGCGTCGAGGCCTTCCGCAACGAGAACTTCATCGACGACCTCGAACTCGTCGCCTCTCGTCGCGACCCGTTCCCCAAGTCCGATCTCACGGGCGGCTACGTCGGCGACGGGGCGCCGCTCTGCGTCGACATTCCCCATGCGGACGCCGGCGCCGTCTTCACCTACGTCGGGTCGTCCGTCGATGACGCTCCAGTCCTCGACGCCGCGAACCCGCTCCACGCGGCGCTCTGCGCGGCGGACGCGGACGGCGCGTGCAAGTTTCCCCGGACCGTGACGCTCGCGGAGTCGCTCCCCGCGACGTCGTTCGCGACGAAGCGCGTCGCCGTCGTCGAGGACCGGCGCCGCGGCGCGACGGCGGTCTACGAGTACGCGCCGCCCGCGTGCGTCAACCTCGCGTGGTTCGAGAACCCGGAAGCCGCGATCTGGGAGGACCAGTACGGCCTCTGCGCCGACCCGCGCGCGCCCTTCTGGGACGGCACGGCGGCACTGCCCCGGGAGGGCGCCTGCGCGCTCGGCGTGCAGATCGCGAGCAGCGGCGCGGTGAACGTCGTCCACGCCAACGGCGGCGGCGGCGACGGGACGGCCTGCGCCGCCAGGCCCGACGAGAGCGACTACCGCGGCACAATCTCCGTGAACAGATTCGGGAAGACGTGCCAGAAGTGGACCTCTCAGACGCCCAACGGCCACTCGCGCACGCCCGAGAACTACCCGGACGCGGGCCTCGGCGACCACAACTACTGCCGCAACCCGGACGGCGAACCCGGCGCCTGGTGCTACAGTGCGGACGGCGCGGAAACCCGCTGGGAGCTCTGCTCTGTTCCGACGTGCGAAATCACCCCGACGGCCTGGTGGCTCGACGTCGACTCGAACCGCCTCTTCCGCGTGCCGTGGGAGGAAGGCGCGTTCCCGACGGCGGACGCGGACGACTGCGGCTCGGACTGCCTCCGCCAGGGTGTCACGTGCCTCTGCCCCGCGACGGCCGTCGAGTCCGCGGCCTTCGCCGCCATCCCGTCGCGCGAGGACGCGCTCGACAAGCTCAAGATCGGCTCGCCCGTCGGAAACCCGGCGGACCACGCGGCCTACGCGTTCTACGGCGAGGTCGACGGCGTCGCGGCCTATTCGCGGAGCGACGGCGTCGACGTCGACACGATCTTCGTGCTCGACGACACCGTGGGCAACAAGGCCTACCTCAAAAACGTCGTCGCCACGGTCCAGGTCGCCGGCGGGTACTCGTTCCGCAACGCGCCCCACTTCGTGCCCTTCACCGGAAGCCCGTCGAAGCAAGCCGCGCGCTTCGAGACCGAGGCGTTCATCGACGGCGTCTTCGAGCACCCGAACGTCGCGCCGTTCGTCGCCAAGCTGCTCCTGCAGCGCTTTTCGACGTCGAACCCGTCGCCGCGCTACGTCGCGGCCGTCGTCGACGCGTTCCGCGCGGGATCCTACGCCGGCTTCGGAACCGGGCAGTACGGCGACCTCGCCGCGACGCTCGCCGCGATCCTGTTGGACCGCGAGGCGACGTCGCCGGCGCTGCTCGCGGACCCCACGCACGGCCGGCTCCGCGAGCCGCTGCTCAAGGTGCTCCACTTCATGCGCGCGATGGAGCTCGACAGCCTGGACGGCCGCGAGGTCGAGCTCGAGGGCATGGACCGGAAGATCGGGCAGATGGTCCACGAGGCGCCGAGCGTCTTCTCCTACTATCTGCCCGACTACGCGCCCCAAGGCGCGGTCGCGCGCCGCGGGCTCGTCGCGCCCGAGGCGCAGGTCATGGAGGGCGCGCGCCTCATCGGCCTCGCGAACGGGTTGTACTCGCTCATTCGCCACGGCCTGAGCCGCTGCGACCGCGGCTTCGGCGGCGGCACGGGCAATTGCAACCGCTGGCCGGCGGGCGGCGGCCTCGCGTACGCGCCGCCGGTGCCCGACCGGACCAAGGAGTGCTCGCGAGAAGTGGACCAGCGCGACTACCGGGGCTCGATCGCGAAGACGCGCTCGGGCCTCGCGTGCCAGCGCTGGGACTCGCAGAAGCCCCACCAGCACAAGCACACGCCCGACGGCCACCCGGAGCTCGCGGGCCACAACTTCTGCCGGCAGCCGAAGTCGGGCAAGAACCGCGCGCGCGCGTGGTGCTTCACGACCGAGAAGAAGACGAAGTGGGACTACTGCGACGTGCCCCGGTGCGACGCGTCGTTCGTCGACGCCGTCGACGACCTCGACGTGCTCCTCACCGAGGGCCGCCTCAGCGACCACAGCCGCGCGGTCATCCTCGACGCCGTCGACAAGCCCATGCTCGGCGGCCCAAACGCGCGGCTCCAGCTCGCGCAGCGCCTCTTCACGCTCGCGCCCGAGTTCCACGCGACGAACGCGCACGAGCCCGTCGGCGCGCGCGACGACGAGGTCTACAGCGACCCGCCGACGCGCAAGTACAAGGCCGTCGTTCTTCTCTTCTTGAACGGTGGCGCGGACAGCTACACGATGCTGGCGCCGACGGGCGACTGCGCCGTCGCGGGCGACTACGTCGACTACCGTGGAGCCATCGCGGAGATGCCTTTCGAGATGAGCGAGTACCGCTCGATCGCTCCCGGCTCCGACCAGCCGTGCGACACCTTTGGCGTACACCCGTCGCTGGATAAAATCCACGGCCTCTACGAGACCGGCGACGCGAGCTTCTTCGCGAACATCGGGTCGTTGGTCGAGCCGCTCACGCTCGCGGAGTACCGCTCCGGCGCGAAGCGGACGCCGCCGTCCATCGGCGCGCACGACGTGCAGCAACGCTTGGCCCAGACCGTCGTCTCCGACAACATGTCGGCCAAGGGCGTGCTCGGCCGCATCCTCAGCGCCCTCGCGGACCCGAAGGTCCGCGACGACCCGCTCAACGCCGTGGGCTACAGCCTCAACGGCCTGCAGAAGGCGCTCGAGGGCTCCGGGCACGCGGAGGTCATCGACCTCAACGCCGACGACGGCTTCTCGCGTCTCATCGACTACGACGAGCTCAAGGAGGAGATCGGCTTGTTGCTGCAGAATGAGAGCTCGTCGGTCTTCGCCGACACCTTCGCGGGCCTCTTCGGGCCGGCGATCCGCCACGCGGAGGAGATCTCGGGCATCTTCGAGGGCGACGACGGCATGGTCACGGACTTCCCCGACACGGGCCTCGGCCGCCGCTTCGAGGACGTCGCGCGCATCGTCACAAAGCGCGACGCGTTGGAGCACGAGCGCGCGGCCTTCTTCGTCGAGATCGGCGGCTTCGACAACCACGGCACGCTCGACGCGCTGCCCATGCGCCTCGAGGAGATCGACGACGCCGTCGCGGCCTTCGCGGACGAGATGAAGGCCCAGGGCATCTTCGAGGACGTCGCCATCGTGACCATGTCGGACTTCGGGCGCACGCTGACGTGGAACGGCGCGGGCACGGACCACGGCTGGGGCGGGCACCATTTCATCGTGGGGGGCGGGTTGAACAACTCCACCATCCACGGCCGCTACCCGGAGACGCTCGGGCCGGACGGCGACCTCAACTACTCGCCGGACCGCGGGCGCATCATCCCGTCGATGCCAGCGTCCTGTGGGCACGACTTTTTGAGAGTTTCGGGGCGGGGAATGATCATCAGCGTCATGCGTAGGTCGACGCCCTGGGAGTCCATGTGGCATCCGCTCGCGCAGTTCATGGGCGTCCGCGAGGACGAGCTCGACTTCGTCATCCCGAATCGCGGGAACTTCCCCGACCTGCTCGAGATCGGCGACGTCTTCCACGTGGGGCCCACGGCCGCGCCGTCGCCGACGCCGTCGCACGCGCCGACGGTGTCTCACGCGCCCACGACGTCTCCCACGCCGGCGCCGACGCTCGAACCGACCGTCTCGCACGCGCCGACGCCGGCGCCGACGCTCGCGCCGACCGTCTCTCACGCGCCGTCCTTCGTGCCGACGGCCACCTTCGCGCCCACGGAGCAGCACGTCTGCGAGGGCATCCCGGGCGTCCGCGCGTACAAGGGCGGCCGGCTCCACTGCATCGAGCTCAACGGCGAGCTGGTCGACTTCTTCCCCGTCAAGGGCGGCGAGCGGACGTGCCGCCACACGGACGAGAATAGCTGCCCCGCGGGATTCGACTTGTGGGTTCCGCGCAACATCGAGCACGCCAAGCTGGGACTGGACCGCTTCGGCTACGAGTCGACGGGGACCATCGGCGTCTACAGAACCGAGAACGGCTGCGGCGGCGCGTCGCCAGCGTCCGACGAGTTTGGAAACACGGACAGATCCCCTGCTTTTAGGTTGCCAGCGCGTGGCCATGAATTCGCACGACCAGCGCGCGTGGGAAGCGCTCGACGCGGACAACGTCGGCTTCACGAGCGTCGCCGGCGAAGGTGCGCCGTGGTTCATGCGCAACGAGCCGTTCAACGAGCCCAACGGAAACTACGACGCGGGGTGCTGGCTCACGACGCACTGGGACGAAGGATGGGAGGAGGGCGTGGGCTTCCGGCTCGACGACGCCAACTGCGCCCGCTGTTCGGTCGATTACGTCTGCTCGACGAACCGCGTCGCCGGCTTCGGGCCGTCCCGCGCGCCCACGACGTCGAAGCCGTCTTCCCCCCCTTCGGCCGAACCGAGCGCGCGACCGACGATCTCGCCGGTGCCGAGCGCCGCGCCCACGACGTCCGAGCCGAGCCCCTCCCCGACGCCGGAGCCCAGCGCGGAGCCCACGGTGTCGCCGATTCCGACCGCGATTCCGACGGCGCGCCCGACGCTCGACGGCGTGTGCCCGGAGGCGGGCGTCTTCGAGTACGGGGAGCACACGCTCCATTGCTTCTTCATTGGCGGCGACGAGCAGGACGACGACGCCGGCGCCTTGATGTTCGGCGCCGAGCAGGCCGGTTTCTGCGTCAAGGAGAATTACCAGGACGTCAACTCGGGCGTCGTCCGGCTCCGCGGCGGGAATTTCAAGACGGCCGCGGAGCACCTCGAGTGCCTCGAACTCTGCGGCGCGTACGCCGGCGCGACGGGATGCGAGGCCATCTGGGGTCAGGGCAACAGCGGCTGCTACGTCCACACGTCCCACGAGATCGCCAAGGGCAACGGCCAGGCGCGCCACAGCTGCTGGCTCGCGACGGGCAAGTTCAAGGCCGCCACCGAAGGCGGCGCGGCCGAGGCGTCGGCGGTCAAAGCGACGCCGGCGCCGAGCCCGCGCGAGCTCGTCGACATCGTGCCCGTCAAAAACGGCGCCTGGACCTGCAAGCGGACGGACGAGAATTCGTGCCCGCTGGGCATGGACATCTGGGCGCGGCGCAGCGTCCTGTGGCCGTGACGGTTTCGAGAGATTTCGGCTGGGAAACGATGAAAAAAACCGTGCTTGGTAGGTGCCGCGGTCCTACGCCCACGCGAAGGCCACCTACGAGCGCTTCGGCTGGCTGACAAAGCTCACTGGCATCTACCGCCCGGAGGACGGCTGCGGCGGCTGCACTCGCGTCGCGATGAACTCCGAAGCTCAAAAGGAGTGGGAGGACCTCGACGACGAGAACGTCGGCTTCAAGAGCGTCGCCGGCGGCGACGCGCCCTGGTTCCTGCGGAGCACGCCCTACTACGAGCCCAACGGGAACTACGACGCCGATTGTTGGCTCACCGCGGCCTACCACGACGGCTGGGAGGACGGCGTCGGCTTCTCGATCGACGACCAGTCCTGCGGCATCTGCTCGGCCAGCTACTTATGCTCGAGCAATCTTCAAGGCGACCCGCCCACGGCCGCGCCGACCGTGACGCCCGCGCCGACGACGCCGGAGCCGTCTGTCGCGCCGACGATCTCGCCTGCACCGACGACCGCCGCGCCGTCGCGCGCTCCCGTCTGCGAAGAGGAGGGCGAGTTCGACTACGCGGACGGCACCGTCCACTGCCTGGCCGTCAACGACAAGTTGTACGACCTGTTCCCCGTGAACAAAGGGGAGCGCACGTGCGGCGTCGACGACGTCGACGACTGCCCCGACGGCATGTCCCTCTGGGTGCCTCGCGACTACGAGCACGCGGCGGCCGTCTACGACGCTTTCGGACAGCAGTACACTCGCATCGCGGGTATCTACCGCGACGAGGACGGCTGCGGCGGATGCCGCGACCACAGCTTGAACTCCTACGACCAGGCCCTCTACGAAGGCGAAGCGCCGGGAAATCTCGGATTTACGAGCATTCTCCCCGGCAACGGCAAGTGGTTCCTGCGCCAGGTGTTCAACGGGCGCGGATGGAATCAGCCGGACGGAAACTACCACGCGCGTTGCTGGCTGAACATCTACGGCTTCGACGAGGGGGCTGGCCTTCGCTTTGACGACCAGGGTTGCGTGTGTCAGACCCGGTACCTCTGCAGCTCGAACCAGATCACCAAGGGCTGGTCGACGTACGCGCCGACGTCCACGCCCGAGGATCCGACGATGACGCCGTCGATGCTCGCGCCGACTATGCCACCCATGGGCATGAAGACGCGCGAGCCGACGATGAGCGAGGAGATGTTCGAGCCGACGATGATGCCGGTCGCGAAGACGCTCGAGCCCACGATGGTCGAGATGTCCGAGCCGACGGCCGGTCCCACGATGGCTCCCGTCGCCAAGACGGCCGATCCAACGACCAAGCCGACGATGCCTCCCACAACCAAGAAGACGGCCAAGCCCACAGCCAAGCCCACGGCCAGCCCCACGGAAAAGCCTACGAGTGCTCCCGTGACCAAGCCCACGGCCGAGCCCACGGAAAAGCCTACGAGCGCTCCCGTGACGCCCGCGCCGTCCGTAGCCAAGACGGCCGATCCGACGACCAAGCCGACGATGGCCAAGACGGCCAAGCCCACAGCCAAGCCCACGGCCGAGCCCACGGAAAAGCCTACGAGCGCTCCCGTGACGCCCGCGCCGTCCGCGGCCGAGCCCTGCGAGGACTCGACGTCGTGGATCCAAGGAACCAAGGCGGACCGCACGTGCGCGTGGATCGGCACGGACGCAGCGACGCGCTGCACAAAGAAGTCCGCCGACAAGGTACCCGCCAGCGTCGCGTGCCGCGCCGCGTGCGGGTCCTGCGGGGAGTCCGACTCCTTTCCGTCGCTCCCCGCGCCGGACTGCGTCGACAGCAAAACGTGGCGCGGGGCCAAAAAGAAGAAGGCGAACCCAAAGGAAACCTGTAAGTGGGTCGCCGAGAAGGCCGAGAAACGCTGCAAGCGCAAGGACGTCGACAAGGTCAAGGCCAAAGTCGCCTGTCCCGTCGCCTGCGGCACCTGCCCCTAGGCCGCCGCGCCCTGCATCGTCGCCCAGATCGCGCCCGCCGCACGCGAGCGCGCAAGGTCGACGACCTGTTCCCCCTGTTCCCCCTGTACCGTCACCAAGCTCCCGTCCGCCGCACGCGGGCGGGCAAGGTCGACTCCCCCCTGCGTCGCCCAGATCTCGCGCGCGACACGCGCGCGAGCAGGCGACACCTTCCCCGCCGTCACCCGCCCGCCTCCAGGCGGGCGGGCACGGCGGCATCCACGACCCCCACGACCCCGGCCCCCGGACCACGCCGAGGGGCCGCTACCTGCATACATACTTCACATACTAGTCGCTATCGCTGTCCCCGCCTCTCGCGGCCGGCGCGACGGTGAGGCGGCCGTGGTTCTCCGCGAGCCACGCGGCGTACGCGGGCGTCGCCGCGAGCGCCGCGACGGCGTCGCGCGTCGCGCGCTCGCCCTCGTCGTCGAACTCGGCCTTGGTCAGGAAGCGGTGGCCGTGGAGGAAGTTCTTCCCGTCGCGCGGCGGCGTGGCCGCGGCCGCGGACCGCCGCGGCGGCGCGCGCGCCGCGGCGGCGTCGCCGGCCAGCAGCGCCGCGAAGGCCCCGAGGGCCGCGCGCCAGGGCAGGTCCGCGTCCGTCAGGCCGGCGTACGCGAAGCCCAGGACGGCGACGAGGCCGTAGCCGACGGACCGCGTCGCGTGGAACCTGGGCAGGAAAAGAGTGCGAAATTCCCAACTTCAAAGGCTCCTATCTCGGTCATTTTCCACTCGTTTCGGCTAATTCTTGGACGAACGATTATCTCTCGGAGCGCTCTCGACGCGTGGATCCTTCCTTTGGAACAATCGCGTGCGGAACCCTCACGTTGAAGCGACGTTGAATCACTCTTTCCCTGCTCTGCGTGGAACGCGAGGAGCAGCGCCGCCGTGCGGCAGCCGCCCTTGACCGCGTCGAAGAAGATGGCCGTCGAGCGCACGTAGCGCGTCGCGAGGACCGACGCGCCCGCGGCGACGGCGACGTAGGTCGCCGTGACGCGCGGCCAGGCCGCGAGGCCGTGCACCGCGACCCGGAAGAAGTACTTCCAGACCGCGAGGCCGTAGCCGAGCGTCGTCGCCACGACGAGGCCCCGCCGCCGCGTCGGCGTCGTCGAGACCTGCGACAGGAGCAGCGCGACGAGGAGCACCGCGGCGAAGATGACGCCCGTGCCGACGCCCATGGCGTAGTGGAGCTGGTACGCCTCGGAGATCGTCGCCGCGGACCGATGCATGGCCACGGCCGCGCCGAAGAAGAGCGCGCGCCGCTGGCGCGCCGTCGACGCGTCGCCCCAGGTCACGGACGCGTTGCGGTCGACGCCGAGGCGGAAGCGGCGCCGCGCCTCGACGCGGACGCACGCGCGCGCGAAGGGCGAGAAGTGGAGCGCGCACCGCGTCGCGTCCGACGCCCACGGCGCGGGGCAGCCGACGACGGGGTCCTCGTAGTGCAGCTCCGCGGCGCCGTGGACCACGCGCCGCGCGACGTAGCTCGCGAACGTCGCGACGGAGCTGTCCAGCGATTTGCGCGTGACGCGCAGGCGCCGCAGGTTCTCGCCCTCGACGACGGCCGTGTGGCTGGAAAACACGCGCCAGACGTGCCACGCCGGGTAGCCCGGCACGCAGTCCTCGAAGGGCGGCTGCGAGCTGAGGGCGGCGGCGCGTTGGGCGGCGGCGAGGACGAGCAGCGCGGCGCGCATGCTGAGGGCGGCGGAAGCGCGGCGGCGTTGGCGCAGATGAGCAGGCGAGCGCGAGCTCAGCGACGCGCCATCGTTTTAAAAAATGCCAGAAGACTTTTTGGCGAGCGGTCGAGCAGGTGATGGCTGCCCTCGAGCTGGCTGCCCTCGAGCTGGACTCGGCCGCCGCGCCACACGCAATGGCCGCCGCCCTCGCTCTCAAGGAATACCGCCGCTGCTCGCCAGCGAAGGAGATCCTCGCGGCTTTGGGCAGCACGGACGCGTCGACGATGGCGGCCTTCTCGCAGCTCGTGCGCGGCGACGACATCCTCGCGCGCTGCCCGCCGCGCGCCGACTACCAGCGGCGCGTCTTCGGCGCCCTCGTCGCCGCGGCGGAGCGCGCGGGCGAGGCGGAGCTGGACGACGGCGTCTTCGAGCTGCTCGCGGCCGCGGCGACGGCGTCCGGCGGCGACGACGGCCGCGGCCACGTGACCGTCGACGTCGCGCCCGGCCGCTGCGTGTCGCTGCGGACCTTCGACCGGTCCAACGAGGTGGGCCTGCGGCTCTGGCCCGCGGCGCTCCTCTTCGCGGAGTGGGCCCTCGCGGACCCGCGGCGCTTCGCCGGCCGGTCGGTCCTCGAGCTCGGCGCCGGCGTCGGCCTCTGCGGCCTCGCGCTCGCGGCGACGGGCGCGGCGCGCGTCGTGCTGACGGACGGCGACGGCCGCGTCGTGACGAACCTGCGCCACAACGCGGACCTCAACGGCTTCGCGGGCGGCGGCCGCGTGGCCGTCGCCGAGTTCGCGTGGGACGAGGCCGCCGCGTTCTACGCGTCTTCGGGCGCCTTCGACGCCGTCGTCGCCGCGGACTGCGTCTACGACGCCGCCGTCGCGCCGGCGCTCGCCGGGGCCCTCGCCGGGGCGCTGGACGCGAACCCGGCCGCGGCCGTCTACCTCGCGAACGCCGTCCGCAACGACGCGACGTGGGCCGCGACGCTCGCCGCGCTCGCCGCGCGGGGCCTCGACGCGACGGCGCGCGTCGACGGCGATGTCGTGCGCGCCGTCGCCGCGGCCGGCGGGCCCACCGCGGTGTCGCCGGCGGCCTGGGCGGGCCTCGCCGCGGACGCGTCCCGCGGCGACCTCCGCATGGTCCGCGTAACGAGGTGAGGCGTTTAGACGAGGTGGGCGCCCTTGCGCGCGCGCGCGGCGCCGTTGAGGCTCGGCGAGACGAGACAAGCGTGAGTCCGAGGACGTCGCGGACCCGTCGAGGCCAAGCAAGCCGCCGTTTAACAAACCCCCAAAACGGAACTAGGACGCCGCGGGCCGCCAGCCCGCCGTGAGGCTCGCGGCGCGGACGACCTCGTCGAAGCGCGCGCGGTCGCAGCCGCCGTCCGCGCCGACCTCCGCGAGGACGGCGCGCGCGACGGCCGCGCGCGTCGGCGAGTCGCTGAGGAGGCGCTCGAGGTCCGCGGGCGAGATGACGCCGTCGCCGTCGCCGTCCATGGCCGCGAAGGCCGCGTCGCTGAGGTCCTCGCGCGTGAAGAGCCGCGGGCTCATCGTCGCGGCCGTGAATTCGTTCAACGTGAGGTTCCCGGACTTGGACACGTCGCAGGCGCGGACGACGTCGCCGAGGTCGTCGGGCGCGGCGACCCCGCGCCCCGCGAGGGCCCGGCGGAGGTCGTCGGCGTCGAGCACGCCGTCCGCGTCCGCGTCGACGGCCTCGAACGTCGCCGCCTCGCGGTGCGTCGCCTCCTCGCGCACGGCCGCGTGGGCCTCGATGAGCACGGCCGTGCGCAGGAGCGCGGGCAGCGCCGCGAAGCGCCGCAGCTTCGGCACGAGGTCGCCGTCGAGCGCGTCCGCGGCCGCGGTCCGCGCGCCGCGGCGGACCCACGGGTGCGCGAGCGCCGCCGCCGCCGTCGCGCGCCGCTCCGGGTCCGGCGCGAGCATGCGCGCCAGCAGGTCGAAGCCCGCGGCGTCGAGCTTCGGCCGCGCCTTGGCCTCGAGGCGCCGCGCGATCGCCGCGGCGTCGCAGACCGCGCGGCGCGCGTCGTCGTCGGCCGTCACCTTGACGCCGCCGAACGCCGTCACGACCTCGCCGCCGCAGAGGCCCTCGATGAGCAGCTCGCCCGTGACCATCTGGAAGAACATGCACCCGAGCGCCCAGACGTCCGACGGCGCGCCGTAGCCCGCGTCGAAGGTCTCCGGCGCCGTGTACGCGAGCGACCCGGCCTGCAGCGTCTCGAGCGCCTCGGCCTCGACGTCCTTGCTCATGCCAAAGTCGATGAGCTTGACGACGTCGTCGTCGTAGCAGAAGTTGTCCGGCTTGAGGTCGCCGTGGACCTACCGCGCGCGGCGGTGGCGACGCGCCGTCGTTCCCCCGGTCGAACGCTCTCGACCGTCGCCGCGGCCCCGGGACGCCGCCGCGGACGAGGCCCCGCGCGTGGCAGCAGACGACGGCGCTGAGCATGGCCTTGAGCGCGGACGCCGCGGCCGCGCCGTCCATGCCGCCGCCGGACGCGGCGACGCGCTCGAGGAGCGTGCCGCCGCCGAGGTACTCCATGACGAGGATGAGCCTGCGTGGAAATCAAATCTTCAACCCGACTTCAATGTGAATGAATGCGACAGTTTCGACGCAAGATCTTCGGCTGTGCTTCGAGAACTCGACGAGAGCGATCGATTCGTCCAAAAATCAGCCGAATCGACTTCGATTTGATCGAGATAGAGAGGTTTGAAGTTTTTGCTGGACAGGGCGTTCCACTGGTTGATTTCCACACAGATGATCGCTCGCCGTCGTCGGCGACGTAGTACTCGTGGAGCTTGACGACGTGGGGGTGGTCCAGCTCCACGAGCGCCGCGACCTCCGCGGGCACCGTCGCCGGCGGCTTCGCCGGCCGCGGCGGCTCGGGCCGGAGCCCGCCGCGGCCGTTGTCCAGGAACCCCAGGTAGGCGTCCCAGCCGTCGTCCGGGTCCTCGTTGTCCACGAGCGCCCAGGCCGCGTCCCAGGCCGCGGCGCCCGCCGGCGCGCGGAGCCAGAAGTGCGCGCGCGGGTGCCGCGCGGTCATGCGCTTCACGGCGCGCCGCTGCATCGTCACCGCGTGCGTCGCCACGGACACGCGGCCGTAGCCGCCGCGGCCGACCTCGCGGAGCTCCCTGTAGGACCGTTTGAAGTCGGCGCCGTCGCCTCCGAAGCGCACGAGCCGCCGCCGCGGCACCGCGAAGCCGGGGACCTCGTCGTCGACGGCGTCGCCGCCGCGGCCGTTGTCGATGAGGGCCCACGCGGCGTCCCAGCTCCGCGCCCATTTCGCGTCCCAGGTCTCGCAGCCCTCCCAGGGCTCGCCCGTGTGCAGGCAGACGAGCTTCGCGACGGCCTCGTCGGCCTTGTCGTCCGTGAACCCCAACGCGTCGTTCGTCCGCACGAAGCGGTCCCGGGGCAGCCGCGGGTTCCGCCAGGGGAGGTTGAGGTCGTCGACGACGATCCAGACGCCGCCGCGCTTTCGCAGGCCCAGGCGGTTCACGACGCTGAAGATCTCGTCGACGCGGTCGCCCGCGGCCTCGTTGGGCACGACGTTGTTCGGCGTGTCCATCGCGTTGAAGAGGCCGTCGATCAAATTCTCCGTGCCCGCGGCGCTGTAGTCCGGCGTCACGGCGTCGACGCCGAGCCCCGCGCGCCCGAGCGCCGCCTCGGCGGCCTCGAGCGCGTCGCCCCGGAGGCGCCACGTGCTGCTGAGCACGAGGCGGCAGCCGCGGCCCGTCCGCCGCTCGCCGTCGCGGATCGCGCGCGCGAGCCGCGCGACCATGGCCGGGTCCGGCGCGTGGCGCGCGGGCGTGTCCGCGTCGGGGAACGCCGCGTCGCCCTCGGCGCGCGTCTTCGCGCTGTTGAGCACGCCGTCGATGTCGAGGAACACAGTGAACCGGCCGTCGTCGCCGCTGTCGTCCTTCGCCTCGAGGCAGCGGCTCCTCAGGGCCGTCGACGCCGCGCAGGCGGCGATGGACGCGAAGCGGTAGGCCATCTCCCTACGAGGCGGCCTCGAGGCCCAACTCCACAAGGAGCTTCCTCCAGAAAGTTGAAAGTTCAATTTGACGCCACACACCCGCTCCTTACGCGAGCTCGAAGTAGGCCGAGCCGACGTGCGCGCCGAACTTGGAGCGCATCGCGTGGCAGACGATGCGGAGCTGCTCGTCGCCGAGCGCGAGCTTCGTGTCGCCGTTTTGGTCGCCCGCGAGGAACGCGAGCGTCAAAGCCGCGAACTCGAACTCGACGGTGGACCCGCAGAGCATCGTCGACATGGGCTTGACCTCGAGCTCGGGGTCGTCGTCGGCCCAGGAGAACTTGACCGTGACCACGTGGACGTCGTCGTCCGCGTGGCGGTCCTGGCGCCCCGTCCAGCCCAGGTAGTTGACGTTGCCCTTTTTCTCCTCCAGATAGAACTGGACCCAGTTGTGGAGGCCCGTGATGGCGCCCCGGCTCTCCTCGCCGACGAAGACGTGTTCGAAGCCCGAGCTGTCGTTGGGCTTGAAGCGCCGGTAGGGCGCGAACCAGAGGTCGAAGAGGAGGTGTTTCAGGTCGAGGGCGCTCCGCAGCTTCTTCGCGCGCGCGTCCCTGCCGTGGCGCTGCAGGTACTCCAAGACGAAGCGCATGTGGGGCGTCGCGACCAGGAGGTCTAGGAACTCGTCCATCTCCCGCTTCTCGGTCCGCGTGAAGACCTCGGCCTTGCCCGTCTCGCGCTCGTAGTTGTCGAGCAACGCCACGAAGGCCTTCGTGACCGGCGACTTCCAGAACGCGTGATTTTTGTCGCAGCTCGCGAAGAGCGGCGAGTCGCAGGGGTCCGCGCCGTCGTCGCGGACGCCGCGGTGCTGGAGCGCGAGCTCGAAGCCCCCGTCCCCCCGCTCGACGCGGCGGCCCGCGTCGACGCGCTCCCAGAGGTGGCGCACGGCCGCGGCGACGTCCATGCCGTCGAGGCTCGGCCCCTTGTTGCCCTTGGCCGGCGCGGCCGCCGGCGGCGGCGCGGGCGGCGGCGCGCCGAGGACGTCCGACGCGAGGAGGCCGGCGACGGCCCGCCGCACGGCGGCGACGCCGCCGGCCTCGAGGTCCGGGCCCGGCTTCTCCTCCCGGAGATCCCAGGCGGCCGCGAGCGCGTCGGCGACGTCGCGCTGGAGCTGCTTCGACGCGCCGGCGGCCGTCGCCTTGAGGCTCCGCGACATGCCCGCGCAGAACTGGCAGAGCTCGGCGTAGTCGTCCTTGCCGTCGGACAGCGACGGCGCGGCCGCGTCGATCTTCCCCAGCGCGTAGGCGCAGAAGGACCGCAGCTTGCTCTCCACGGAGACGACGGACGGCGGCTTGGACCAGGCGCTCATCGTGTGGGCGTCGAGCAAGAACGACGGCGTCGGAATGATTCGAGGAGGCTGCCCGCTTTCACCTGAATTTCAGAAGTGCAACAACTCACGGCAAATCCTGTGGAGATTGAGCTGACACGCACCAGCAGCATGGCTAGTGCTTTTGCGGCCGCGAGCCAGCGCGCCCTCGGGCGCCGCGCCTTCAGCTCCGATGCGCTCCTGAAGACCATGCTCTACGACCTGCACCTCGAGCGCGGCGGCAAGATGGTGCCCTTCGCGGGCTACGAGCTGCCGGTGCAGTACGCGGGGATCGGCGTCCTCAAGGAGCACATGCACTGCCGGTCGCCGGGCAAGTCGTCGCTCTTCGACGTGTCCCACATGGGCCAGATCAAGTGGACGGGCGCGGACCGCGCCAAGTTCCTCGAGCGCGTCCGCCCGCGTCCCGCCTCGCGCGCCGCGTCGCGCCGCCGCGGCCGCCGCCGCGCGTCCGACGCAAACCCCTCCGCAGGACGGCCGTCGTCGGCGACGTCGCGGGCCTCGGCGACGGCGAGGGCCGCCTCACGCTGCTCACGAACGCCGAGGGCGGCATCCTCGACGACTGCGTGCTCGCGAACGCCGGCGACTACGTCTACATGGTCGTCAACGGCGCGTGCAAGGTCGGCGACATGGCCCACCTCCAGGCCCTCCTCGACGCCTCGGGCATGGACGTGCAGATGCACTACCAGGGCGACGACGCGACGCTCGTGGCCCTCCAGGGCGCCGGCGCGCCGGGCGTGCTCCTGCCGCTGCTCCCCGACGGCTTCGACATGACGCGCTTCGCGTTCATGACGGGCGTCGACACGTCCGTGGGCGGCTACGCCTGCCGCGTGACGCGCTGCGGCTACACGGGCGAGGACGGCTTCGAGATCGCCGTCGCGGACCCGGCGAACGGCGTCGCCGTCGCGGAGCTGCTCCTCGGCTCCGAGGGCTGCGAGCCCTGCGGCCTCGGCGCGCGCGACTCGCTGCGCCTCGAGGCGGGCCTCTGCCTCTACGGCCACGACCTCGACACGTCCGTGAACCCCATCGAGGGCACGCTCCTCTGGACCATCGGCCCCAAGGGCTCGCGCCGCCGCGTCGACCAGGGCACGCTCGGCATGGAGCACTACCTCAACGCCAACGGCTCGCCGAAGAAGTTCGCGCGCAAGCGCGTCGGCTTCATGGGCCACGCCAAGCCCGCGCGCGAGGGCACGGCCATCTTCGACGCCGCGGGCGAGACGCAGGTCGGCGTCGTCACGTCCGGCACCGTGAGCCCGGTCCTCGGCAAGCCCATCGCCATGGGCTTCGTCGAGACGGCCCTCGCCAAGAAGGGCACGGACGTCACCTTCGACATCCGCGGCAAGAAGATCCCCTCCCAGGTCGCCCCGATGCCCTTCGTCGAGCCCAACTACTACCGCGTGCCCGAGTAGGCGCGCGACAAAACGCGCCCGGAACGCACGACGGGCGGCCCCGAGACCCACGACCGGCGCCGGGCCCGTCCCTCTTGCACTAACTGGCTTCACCTGAGTGAGTGCGGGATCGCGCAGGATCACGCTTTGAGGTCCTGTTTGACTTCGTCAACATCTCGTCAACACGATAACAAGTTTATTTGCACCAATCCCGCCGGGCTAAAAACTAAAAAAAGCAACTCGACCGATTCCTCGAAAAAGCAACTCAAACAATCAGGCTGCGAGCAGCCCTTTTGCAGCGTCGATGGACGAAGTTCTCGTCTTCTCCAGCCCGTAGCTCGACGCAGGCGCAGAGTTGCGCAACGATCCCCGCGGCTGCGAGGACCGGAACCCTGTCGCGGACACATTCCCCGCGGGATGTCACTCCCGAGGATTGCGTCGCATCGCGCGCGGGGCGTCCCAAGGGGTCGGAAGAGGGTTTTCGGCGTCCCCCGCACCCTTTTCGACCGTGTTCGAGCGCACGGAGCATCGGGAATCGTTCGTCTATGTACCGCGGGCGTCCCATTTGATCCGCTCGGCCATCGACGTCGAAAACATCGACCGCCAACTCGCGCATAGAAACGTGGCGCGGCAGCCCGAGCGGCCCCCACGTCCAGAAACGCGGTCTGGGCCGACACCACCGCCCGAGCCCCGTCCCCAGTATGTGTCCGGTGGGATCGAGTACATCTCCAGCGGTGGAGGGCCACCCCGCGGTGCCGATCTCGGCCGTTTCGTCGTCCCCATGGAGGCCCGGAACGCCGACTTCACGGCGTCGGCCGCTGCAGTAGGAAATGTGCTGAATCCGCCTCAATGGCCCGAAGAACCCGTCCCACGCAATCACCTACTGCAGAGAGACACCTTCACCACTGCGGACTCGGCCACGCTCGGAGCGCGTCCATCGCGTGTAATTGCTTCAATAATCGCAACGATGCAGCTCCTGCGCAAAGGCCCGCTGGAGGATTTTGTGGCATTTGTCCGAGAGGCCAGCTCGCCACAGGATTTTGTGGGTGCGATGGCATCGTCGCTGGTCCACCTGCGCTTGACTGGCCAAAAACCCGACACATACCAGGCCACGCCGAATCTGCCGCCGATCGACGGCCGCTGCAAGTCGCACGTCTTGATGGCGCTGGATAAGCACAAAAAGATGTTCAAGAACAGGACGCCGCAGAGGCTCGACGGCGTCTCCGACGCGTTCTCGAGGAACGCCGCCGCCGGCTTGACGAGCTACTCCTGCGTGTTCAGGGGCCCCGCGAGGGAATCCTTGCGTTCCAGGGCGTGGTCCCCGACCCAGGCGGCGCGCGAGACCTTCCTGCCCAGCGGCGGCATGGCCAGGACGCCGCAGAGGCTCGACGGCGTCTCCGACGCGTTCTCGAGGAACGCCGCCGCCGGCTTGACGAGCTACTCCTGCGTGTTCTGGGCCCCCGCGAGGGAATCCTTGCGTTCCAGGGCGTGGTCCCCGACCCAGGCGGCGCGCGAGACCTTCCTGCCCTACGGCGGCATGGCCAGGACGCCGCAGAGGCTCGACGGCGTCTCCGACGCGTTCTCGAGGAACGCCGCCGCCGGCTTGACGAGCTACTCCTGCGTGTTCTGGGCCCCCGCGAGGGAATCCTTGCGTTCCAGGGCGTGGTTCCCGACCCAGGCGGCGCGCGAGACCTTCCTGCCCTACGGCGGCATGGCCAGGACGCCGCAGAGGCTCGACGGCGTCTCCGACGCGTTCTCGAGGAACGCCGCCGCCGGCTTGACGAGCTACTCCTGCGTGTTCAGGGGCCCCGCGAGGGAGTCCTTGCGTTCCAGGGCGCGGTCCCCGACCCAGGCGGCGCGCGAGACCTTCCTGCCCAGCGGCGGCATTGACCTGGGGCGCGAGGCCTGATTGACGGTGCGTCAGCCGCACGTCCGCGGGCGGGTGCGTGTGGCCTCGACCCTCGTATACGTGCAGGACGTTGTCCGTCGTCCGGTACGCGCGGATGAGCTGTCCTCGCAAAATCCTGAGAGCGGCCCCAGCTGCAGCTCCTGAGGTGTTGCTTTTGATAGTTTTTAGCCCGGCGGGATTAATGTTGGCGCTCCGTCCAGGCTGGATTTCACCACTCGCGCTGCCGCAAAGACACCATGAGCGTCACCGCCCAGCCCTACACCTTCCCCTACGCCGGCGGCGCCCTGAGCGCCTCGGACACGGCCTTGATCCTCATCGACATGCAGGTCGACTTCTGCGGCCACGGCGGCTACGTGGACCAGATGGGCTACGACATCTCCGCGACGCGCGCGCCCATCGAGCCCCTCAAGCGCGTGCTCGCGGCCGCGCGACACGCCGGCGTGCGCGTGCTCCACACGCGCGAGGGCCACCGGCCGTCGCTCGCGGACCTGCCGGCGAACAAGCGCTGGCGGAGCGAGCAGATCGGCGCGGGCATCGGCTCGCCCGGCCCCTGCGGCCGCGTGCTCGTGCGCGGCGCGCCGGGCTGGGAGCTCATCGACGACCTCGCGCCGCTGGCCCACGAGGACGTCATCGACAAGTGCGGCAAGGGCTCGTTCCACGCGACGGACCTCGACATGGTGCTGAGGACCTGCGGCGTGACGAAGCTCGTCCTCGGCGGCATCACGACGGACGTCTGCGTGCACACGACGATGCGCGAGGCCAACGACCGGGGCTACGAGTGCTGCATCGTCGCCGACGGCACGGGCGCGACGGACGCGGGGAACCACGCGGCGGCGCTCAAGATGGTGACGATGCAGCACGGCGTCTTCGGCGCCGTCGCGGCCGCGGACGCCGTCGTCGCGGCGCTCGACGCCCTGCCGCGCGCGGCGCCGCGGGGCGGCGCGCCGACGTGGCCGCCGCCCGCGCCGCGGGTCCTCGCGGCCGCGCCGCCGGGGCCCGGCGGCGGCGCGGTCGCCCGCGCGAAGCCCTTCGCGTTCGCGTGGCCGTCGGCGCGCGCGCTCGGCGTGCTCATGATCGACTGGCAGCGCGACTTCCTCGACCCGGAGGGCTTCGGCGCGTCGCTCGGCAACGACGTCGCGCCGCTCCGGTCGGCCGTGCCCGCGGCCGCGCGCGTGCTCGAGGCCGCGCGGGCCCGGGGCCTCTTCGTCGCGCACACGCTCGAGGCCCACGCCGCGGACCTCGGCGACTGCCCGCCGTCGAAGAAGCGGCGCTGCGAAGCCATCGGCGAGACCCTCGACGCGTCGCGGGGCCGCGTGCTCGTCCGCGGCGAGCCGGGCAACGCCGTCGTCCCGGAGCTCGCGCCGGCGGCGGGCGAGCTCGTCGTCCACAAGCCCGGCAAGGGCGCCTTCTACGGCACGACGCTCGAGCGGGACCTCCGCGCGGCCGGCGTCACGCACCTCGTCGTCACGGGCGTCACGACGGAGGTCTGCGTCCAGTCCACGCTCCGCGAGGCCAACGACCGCGGCTTCGACTGCCTCCTCGTCGAGGACGCGACGGAGTCCTACTTCCCGGCCTTCAAGCGAGCGACGCTCGACATGGTCGTCGCCCAGGGCGGCATCGTCGGCTGGACCGCGACGGCCGGCGACGTCGCCGCGGCGCTCGCCGCGGCCGCGTAAACAAAAAAGGCTTACTGCTAGCCCGGGCCTAGCCGAGACCCACGGGGGAACCGGACTCTCGCTCCTCATCGACCTGCCTCATCATCCCTGTGCTTGCGCCATGCGCGTCGTCCTGGCCGTCTCCGGGACGCTCCAGGAGGGTTTCCCGCTGCGCAAGAACCTGGACGCGCCCGGCGCGCCGGCGGTGCACCTCGGCTCGGGCCTCGTGCGCTGCGTCAAGTCCTACCTCGACACGAAGGAGCCCGGCTGCCGCGAGCACGGCAACGACCCGAACCCGTGCTGCGTCGTCACGGGCGACCCGGCGGACGCCAACGTCTACGAGCTCTACCTCGTCGACGGCGAGGCCTGCGTGGCCGCGCTCCTGGGCGAGCCGCGGTACCTGGCCATGGCGCCGGACGCCGTGACGCTCGACCTCGAGGCCGCCGAGACGAGCGGCGTCGTCCGGGCCTTCGCGCGCGAATGCCTCGGCGACGTCGCGCGCTGCTCCGTGCTCGCGGTCGTCTCGGCGGTGCGCGCGCCGCCGAGCTTCGTGGCGACGCCGACGGCGGGCGGGCCGACGGACTTCGCGTCGGGCGTGGCGCTCGCGCGCGACCGGGGCCTGCTCGGCGCGCCGGCCGACGACGCCGCGAAGCGCCGCGCGCGCGCGACGCTCGGCGGCGCGGCGCCGCGGCTCTCCGGCGCGCTCCCCGAGGCGCGCGCGGCCGCGCTCCTCCGGAAAGTCGGCCTCGACGCGGCTCCCTTGCTCGACGCGGCGGCGCCGCCGCCCCGGGACGCGGCGGCGTGCCTCCGCGCGCTCGCGCCCGCCGCGGCGGCGGCGTGCCTCGTGCCCTTCGTCGCGCGGGGCCGCGGCCGGACCCTCGCGGCCTTCGCGGCGGGCGTCCTCGCCGCCGCGGCCGCGCGACGCCTCGAGGCGACGCTCGAGGCCCGGGCCATGGAGCGGCGCGCGACGGCGGCCGCGGCGCCCGGCGCGGAGCTCGGCGACGTCGCCATCCCCTGCGGCGGCGGCCGCTGCTTCCACGTGTCCCGCCGCGACACGGCCGTCGTCTGCATCGACCTCCAGGTCGACTTCCTCGACGCCGACCGCGGGCGCGTGGCGAAGCACTACGACGAAAGGACGCTCGCGCACGCGCACGCGGCCCGGGACAACGCCGCGCGGCTCCTCGCGGCCGCGCGCCGGGGCGGCCTGACGGTCGCACACTCGCGGAGCCACCGCTACGGCGCGCGGATCCACCGGGACCTCGTGGGCTCCGGCGACGCGGGCTACGCGCTCGACGCCGCCGTCGCCGCGCGGCCGGGCGAGATCGTCGTCGACAAGTGGACCTTCGGCGCCTTCGCGTCGACGGACCTCGAGGCGCGCCTCCGGCGCCGCGGCGTCACGCGGATCCTGCTCTGCGGCGTGCTCACGAACGTCTGCGTCATGGCGACGGCCGTCCAGGCCTGCGACCGCCTCTTCCGCGTGTGCCTCGTCGAGGACGCGACGGGGGCCTTCGACGCGGGCTGGCACGAGTCGGCCGTCGGCCTCATCAACGGGCCCCAGGTCGCCGCGGGCCACGCGCGCGCGCCCGCGGCGACGGGCCTCTACTTCGGCGAGAAGACGACGGTGGCAAACGTCGAGGCGGCGCTCGCGGGGCTGTAACTGGGATAACATATCCCGCCGGCGGGATCTGTGAAACGCCGCTTCCTGGGCTTCAACCTCAAACGTTGCGCCATTCGGAATCGCTCACCCGGTATTGCACACATATCAAGGGTCGGGGAGCGGGAGAAACGAGGGGCGCAGCCGCTGTTCGGACGGCGCGCGGTCGCGGGTCGCGACGTGGGTCACCCTCGGGGGAGTCGCGGAGGCGCCAACCTAGGCGACGGTCTTCTTGCGCGCGACGTGGTCGATGTCGATGGGCGGGTCGAGGAGGCCCGCCTTCTGCATGGCCAGGTGGACGAGGAAGAACGCCGTGCCCATGGCGAACGCCGTCGCCCACATCCACGAGAAGTTCGTGTCGTCGCTGATCTTCGGGTAGAGGCCCGCCTTCTCCGGGCCCATCTTGCCCGTGCCCGTGCCCCCGCCGCCGTAGTACATGCTCGAGTCGCGGTTGTACATGGTGGGGATGGCCGTGAGGCCCTGGAAGACCGTCGTGATCGCGCAGAGGATCGCGCCCTCCTTGAACTTGCGGTCGATGCAGTAGCAGAAGATGGCCGTGAAGACGAGCGTGAACCACTCGCCGCCGCCCTGGCCCATCATCTTGATGCCCATGCCGACGGAGCCCCAGTTGCCCGCGTCCATCGAGTTCCACCACGCGTCGGGCCCGCCCGGCTTCATGTCCGCGTGCACGGTCTGGAAGAAGTCGTCGTTGCTCGTCTTGTACGTCGGCGCCGAGCCGTTCCACGGCACGCCCGGGTCGATGTAGAGCTTGGCCCAGTTGCAGAGGCAGGGGAAGAGGCCGAAGAAGATCGCCGGGTAGTAGCGCGGCGGGTTGTCCTCGACGGCCTGCTGGCACATGACGAGCCCGACGAAGATGAGGAGCGCGCCCGGCGCGCAGCCCGGGATGACCTTGTAGAGCGACGCGAACAGCCCGCTCCAGAGCAGGACGAAGTAGAGCATGCCGTTGATCGCGGAGTAGCCGCGCCGCGCGCCGAGCGACTTGTGGATCGGGTGGCCGATGTAGACCGTCGTGCCGAAGAAGGAGCCGAAGCACGCGCCGAGGCACGTGCCGACGCCGTCGATGATCAGCGTCTCCGTCATGGGGTAGTCGTCGCCCGCGGCGGACGCGGACTCGACGCACGCGAGCGACGCGGAGAAGCCGACGACGCCGACGACGATGATGATGCCGAAGTAGTACTTCATGCGGTTCCAGTTCATGGACGACAGGTCCGTGAAGATGCCGCTGCCGAAGGAGGAGATGTCGCCCGCGTAGGTGCGGTACGCGTACTTGGCGTCGTGCTTCGACGTGCCCGTGCACGTCGAGTACTGCCACGTGTCGCCGAACATGGACCGGGTCCCGGCGTTGCCCGGGCCGTGGCCGTCGACGGCGCCGAACCACATCTCGCTGTAGGAGTCGCCGTAGTTGTACATCTCGATGGCGCCGTTCTTGTGCTTGCAGCCGCCGGCCCAGCCGAGGATGCACGCCGTGAGGATCGCGACGAGCGCGATGGGGATCGTGAGGCCGCTGTTGCCGAGCTTGTACTTGACGCCGCCGAAGAAGCCGGCCAGGATGATGAGGAGCGGCACGACGCAGACGATGGGCTCCGCCGCGACCTGGATCATGGGCCCGAACGCGAGGTAGGTGAAGCCGACGCCCGTCATGAGCGAGTACATGGCCGGCGACGGCAGGATCTTGCGGAGCGGCGACCCGAGCGCGCAGCCCGCCATCTCCATGAGGCCCGTGAGGAAGTTCGCGGACACGGCGATCTTGAACGCGTTGTTCGCGACGTCCTGGCCCGCGCTGTGCCAGTCGCCGCCGAAGCCCTTGTTCAGGTTCTTGGCCTTGTAGAGCTCCGTCATGAGCGCCGTGAGGTTGATCGCGCCGAGCGTGATGAACGCGCCCGTCGTGTTGATGCCGTAGGGCTGCGCGCAGACCTAGAGGGGGCGGCGGAGTGACCTTCTCGGGCGCGTGTCCGGGCGCGAAACCGCCGCCGGACGCGGGCGCGGACGTCCGTGCGGCCCTCCTTCTTCGCGAGCCGCCCGGCCATGTAGGCGTAGTAGAAGTTGCCGAAGAGCAGGCCCACGGCGACGCCCTAGGGACATTGTGTCGGACGAAGGGTTCGAATTCCGACGCGGGCCGCGCGCGGGGATGCAGCGCTCGTAGTAGAGCGTCGTGTAGCGGGAGACGATGGCCTCCGCGTAGAGGTCGTCGAAGCCGCTCGCCGCGCCGGCGACGAGCACGTTGAGGAAGAAGCCGAGCATGAGGCCCGTCACGGAGAGGAGCGTCGCGAGGTTGTCGAAGAAGAGCTCGCCGAGCGCCTCCGCTCGCCGGAGCCGGTCCAGAGCCCCAGGATGCCGCCGTACTCCTTGTTCCACAGGAGCCAGGGCGTGTCGCCCCACCAGGCGATTGGGTTCTCGAGGAACGCGCGCTCGGGACGCTCCTGGGCCAAGCCGATCGTGATGGCGTCCGTCGCCACCGGCGGCTCGTCCGCGATGGTCTTCTCCTTCTCCGTCTCGGTGAGCGCGACGCCGGCCTCGGCGTCCATCGTGCGAGGGCTGGACTGAATTCTTGTTCGACCTTGTTCGACGTTCCCAGATGGCAGCAACGGCCAGGGGGCAGCCGGATGGGCTTTCAAGATGTGCCTGTCAGATGGCTTGACCTCAACCAAAAGGTTGCACTCTATGATGCCGCTAGTTGCCCCCCCAGCGTGGTGGCTCCGACTTGAGGGGCTCGATTGCCATGCGCTTCTCGCTGCCGCTGTTGCTCGCGGCGTCGCTCGCCGACGCCTTCCAGGCGCCGGCGGGTCGCGCGCGGCGCTGCGCGCCGCGGCCGGCGCTCGCGGAGTCGTCGCTCGTGCTCGCCGACGCCGAGGCGGCGCTCGGCGGCATCGTGAAATTCCTGCCCTTCCTCGGCATCCCCGCCGTCGTCGTGGGCATCCCGTTCGTCGTCTACAAGCGCCTATCGGCCCTCGAGGGCGACGACTACACGGACAGCGTCTTCACCGACAAGGACCCGTACCAAGGCGTCAAGGTCGAGCGCGGCGGCCCGTCGCAGCGCGAGCTCCAGGAGCTGAGCTACGAGGAGCTCGTCGAGCGCTTCGGCGACCCGACGCTCAACGACTCCGAGTCGCGCCAGGCGGCCGCGGCGCGCCAGGCCGCGTCGCGCGCGCCGGAGCCGGCCGCGCCGGCCGCGGGCTTCGAGCTGCCCGCGCTCGAGCTGCCGAAGTTCGAGCTCTTCGGCAAGCCGGCGGCGCCGGCGCCGGAGCCGGCCGCCGACGAGCCCGCGGAGGAGGCGTTCAAGTTCCCCTGGCAGTAAGACGCGCCCTAGCCCGCCGCGAGCTTCTGCCGCGCGTCGAGCCAGACGCTCGGGAAGTAGTAGGCCCGCGCGGGCGCCTGGTCGTCGACCCAGGCGAAGCCGCCGTCGACGAGGCCGCGCAGCGCGCCGCCGGCGCGCGCGTCCGCGTCGCCGCCGCGGAGGCCCGCCGCGAGCGCGGCCGCGTCGACGCCGCCGCCGCGCGCGGCCGCGACCTCGACGGCGCGCGCGGCGTCGTCGCTGAACTCCGCCGGCGCCGAGAGGATCGCGTCGCCGTTGATGACGCGGAAGCCGTCGCCGAGCGCCGCCAGCTTGGCGACCGCGCGCTTGACGTCGTCGCGCGAGATCGCGTCGTCGCCGACGCGGTCGAGGAGGTCGTCGAGCGCGATGAGGCCCCCGTTCTCGCCCCGCGTCGCCGCGCAGCACTCGACGACCTTGACGCCGACCTCGTAGTAGAAGTCGCCGACGCCGAGCGCGTCGGCCCAGAAGCCCTTGGACGACCGGAGCGGATCGACGCCCGTCTCGTAGCACATGGCCGTGAACTGCCGGCGGAAGACCGGGTCCTCGCGGATGCCGCGCTTGTGCTTCGCCGCGAAGGCCTCGAGGGACCGCCGGAACGTCGCGAGGAACGCGCCGACGTGCGCCGCCTCCGTCGCCTCCATCTCCGCGGCCTTGGAGGCGTAGCTCTCCTTCTCCTGGGCCTTCTTCTTCACGGCTTTCACGCCGACGCCGCGCCGCCGGTGCATGGCTTTGCTTCTAGGCGGTGTCGGCGCGGGTCCGACGGCTCGCGCCGGCGCGCGCGACGAGTCCTTGAAGCCTAATTGAGGGCACGGTGAGTTTTGCCACAAAGGCTTGCCTTATGTGCCTCTTGGCACGCCGCCATTTCGTCGCCATTGACACGCCATGGGCAAGTCGAAGAAGCGCGGCAACAAGTTTTTCGCCGGCGACCCGTTCTTCGCGGCGCCGGCGGAGCAGAAGCAGAAGCGGCCCAAGCAGCAGGAGACGACGCACGCCGCGCCGCGCGCCACGTCCGAGGCGCCGCGCCGCGCGCCCGGCGACGCGGAGCAGAAGCGGCCCAAGCAGGCCAAGCCCAAGGCGCGGCCCGGCGACGCGGACCGCGTCGTCGCCGGCTTCCACCCGCGGAACCGGTACCGCGGGTCCTACGACTTCGACGCGCTCGTCGCGGCGCTGCCGGATCTCGCGTCCGCGCTGACGACGAATCCGCGCACGGGCGCGCGGACCGTCGACTGGCGCTCGGAGCGCGGCGTGCTGCTCCTGAACGCGGCCATCCTCGCGGCGGACTACGGCGTCGCGGGCCTCGAGGCGACGCTGCCCGCGGGCCGCCTCGTGCCGCCCGTGCCGTCGCGCGCGGACTACGTCCACGTCGTCGCGGACCTGCTCCGCGGCGACGGCGCCGGCGACCTCGCGGGGCTCCTGGGCGTCGACGTCGGCACGGGCGCGTCGGCCATCTACCCCATCGTCGGCGTCGTCGACTACGGCTTCGAGTTCGTGGCCACGGACGTCGACGGCGGCTCGCTGGCCGCGGCGCGCGCGCTGCTGGATCGCAACGCGCGCGTCGGCCGGCGCGTGCGCCTCGTGCGCCAGACCTCCGGCGCGCCGCACCGCATCTTCGACGTCCTCGCGGGCCTCGAGCGGCCCGCGGCCTTCACGCTCTGCAACCCGCCGTTCCACGGTTCGGCCGACCAGGCGGCCGCGGCGGCGGCGAAGAACGCGGCGCACGTCGGCGGCGGCGGCGGCGCGCTGGCCTTTGGGGGGACGTCGAACGAGCTCCACTGCGCCGGCGGCGAGGACGCGTTCGTCGCGGCCATCGTCGCCGACTCGAAGACGTGGACCGCCGCGGCGCCCGACGCGGCGCCGGTCTGGTTCACGACGCTCGTCTCGCGCAAGCACCGGCTGAAGCGGCTGCGGTCATTAGCCGAGGCCGCGGGCGCGGTCGACGTGCGCGCGGTCCAGTTCGGCGGCGGCGGCGGCCACGGCAAGATCGCCCACGTCCTCGCCTGGAGCTTCCTGGCGCCGCCCGCGCGCGCGGCCCGCCTCTCGCGGGGCTAGGTCTTAGGACGCCGCGCGTTTCTCGCTCAGGCCCAGTCGACGGGCGTGAGGCCCGTGCAGCCGTTCTCCTCGAGCTTGTTGAAGGCGGCGCTAAAGTCGGCGAGGAACTTGGCGTTGTCCGCGGCGTAGATCTCGGCCCACTTGCGGAGCTTGGCGTCGTCGCGGAGGAGGAGGTCCGACGGGAGCATCATGAGCTTGCCGCTCGGGTCCTCGAACTGCGCCGGCCCGTCCCAGGCGCGCGGCGTCCACTTCGTGTTGAGGACGAGCGAGTAGTAGGAGTTCGTGAGGAGGTTCGGCGTCGGCGTCCAGGGCCCGTCGTAGCCGCTGGCGTCCGGGTGGCACCGGCCGAGCGCGTGCGCGCCCGAGAGGACGACGATCTCGCGGTCGTCGAAGCCCATGCGGTAGAAGACGCCGTCCCGGAGGTGGGCCGCCGTCTTGTCGGGCGAGCCCTTGTCCGCGGCGGGGAGGCGGCCGTCGGGCGTCACCGCGGACGCCGGCTCGTCGACGCGGCCCGCGCTCCAGGGGATGACGGGGCCGTTCGCCTCCTTGATCGCGACGCAGCCCGCGAGCGTGAAGATGTCCGCGTAGCTCGCTCCGGGGAACTGCTTCTTCACGGGCTCGAGCCAGGCGACGGCCTTGGGCAGGCCCGCGTTGCCGCCGTGCGCGAGCTCCTCCTTGAAGCGGATCGTGCCTCCCTTACTGCCACCGTCGGCCGCGAGCTTGCTGTAGGTGCCCGACGAGTGCCACGCGAGGCGCAGGAACGTCGGGCCCTTGTCCGGGTCGGCCTTGATGATGGCCGCGATCGCCGCGGCGACGCGCTTGTAGTCGACGTCCGCCGTCGGGGCCGCGGCCGCGGCCGCGCCGGGGAAGCCCAGCAGCGACTCGCTCGTCACGACGGCGGCGGCCGCCGCCGACGCCTTGAAGAACGCCGCGCGCTCGACCTCATTCGACGGCAGGCGCGCCGCGAGCCGCTGCGACAGCGACCGCTGCAACTTGTCGACGCCGCCGCCGGCGTGCAGGCCGTGAACCTACCAGGTACCGGAGTTTTTTTTGCAATGCGCTGCTGTGCCATTGGACACTGCGTACCGCACAGCGTCGGCCAGGCAGACGAAGAAAAAACCGGCGCGCGCGCTGGACCCCATGGCCTCGATCTTTGCCCAGAATTCGAAGGCGGCAGACTTCAAACACGACTGCAACGCCGCGTTTGACGCCACACCAATCAGCCGCCGTCGACCACCGTGACGAATGCATGCAGATATCACGCTACATATGGACGTTACGAAGCGACGCCACCGTCCGGTTCGTCGCCCGGGACGAGGGGCGCGTGGAGGCTGCGGTCGACAGACCCGGGCAGGCGCTCGAGGGACGAGGCGCGGTCCAAGGACCCGCGCGACAGGTTGAGCATCATCATGGGCCGCCGCTGGACGGCCTCGCGGAAGGACGGGCTCGCGGGCTCGTCGCGCGGCCGGCGGCGGCGCGCGGGCGACGCCGCGGACGGCGTCGGCCGCGCGACGAGCTCGCCGTCGCTGCCCGCCGACGACTCCGGGTCCGTGAAGCCGTCGTGGTAGGACTCGGGCGTCGCCGGGCGCCGCGCGGGCCGCGGCGCGTCCTCGGGCGGCAACACGACGACGCGGCCGTCGGCCTCCTGCGCGACGCGGCGCGCGACGTCCGGGTTGACGGACTGGAGCACGGCCTGGTGCGTCGCGATGAGGCGGTCCTGCTTGGCGACCTCCTCCTCGAGGATGCGCAGCTTCTCCTTGCGCGCGAGGTACCGCCGCTTCTCGGCCCGCTCCTTGCGCCGAAGCCGGTCGCGCCCCTTCTCGAGCGTCGCCTTCTGCGCCGCGAGGATCTGCTGCGAGTAGAGCAGGTACTGCGTCGCGTACTGGTTCATTCGCAGCGCCTTGCGCCCGAGGCCCCGGTCGTCGCCGCCGTAGGCGAGGAAGCCGTCGTCGGCGTCGCCGACGCAGACGTCCGCGAGGAAGGCGCGCAGGGCCGACGCGTCGCCGAGCTTCTGGAGCTGGCGCACGTTCGTCGACGCGACGCGCGGCCAGTTGATCGGCGCCGTCAGCTCCTCGAAGGCGAAGCGCGGCGCGGCCATGTGGAATTTGGGCAGCCCAACCGTCCGGAAGACACAACGGATATAGATCGGCCTTCTTTGACAGTTCAGCCGCTCTCCCTCAGCGCCGCAGAGCAAAAGTTGTCGCCCCTCGTCATTGCGCCGCACGCCCGGAACGCCAACCGCCCCATGACGTCCGTCGTCGCCGCGGCGTCGCCGCGCGCGGCCGCCGCGCCCGCCAAGGCCACGAAGCACAAGAAGGAGCGGCTCAAGCTGCCGCGGGCCCCGAAGCTCGCGCCCATCGACGGGGCCGAGGAGCCCGCCCCGGCCGTGCCGTCGCTGGCCGCCGTCGCCTGCCCCTTCTCGCCCGGCGCGCGCGCCAACGTCGCCGGCCCGCGGCCCGCGTCCGCGCGGCCCGGCTCGCGGCCCGGCGGCGGCCGCGGCGGCTGCCGGCCCGCGAGCGCCAACGCCGCGCGCCGCGCGCGGCCCGCGAGCGCCAACGCCGCGCGCCGCGCGAGCCACGCGTCGGCGACCTTCGCCGAGGAGTACGTCCGCCAGCAGCGCGCGGGCTGCGAGCGCCCCGGGGCCATGCGCTTCTCGGGCGACCGCGACCGCGTCGCCTACGAGCCGCCGGCGGCGCGCGGCGCGGGCGGCCGCACCTTCGCCGAGGAGTGCCTGCGCCAGCAGCGCGCGGGCTGCGAGCGGCCCGGGGGCATGCGCTTCTCCGGCGACCGCGTCGCCTACGAGCCGCCGCCGGGCAGCGCGCGGTCGCGGTGCACGCCGCCGTCGTCCGCGGACTCCGCGAGCCGCGCCTCCTACGCGGAGCTGCCCTTCGCCGAGAGCCTCGCGCGCTCGGAGCGGTCCCACGAGCGCCGGAGCCACTTCAAGTTCTCCGGCGCGGCCTTCGCGCGGCCCGCGGCGCCGGCGGCGCCCGACTCCGTGCCCTTCGCGGAGGCGCTCGCGCGCGGCCAGCGCAAGTCCCAGCGCTCGGGCGCCATGAAGTTCGCGCCGGCGCCCGCGCCGCTCCCCGCCGCCGCCGCGCCGCCCGCCGCCGCGCCCGCGCCCCTCTTCGCCGCGGACCTCGCGCGCCTCGACGCGCGGCCGCCGCGCCGCAAGAGCGCGGCGATGAAGTTCGCCGGCGCGCTCGCGCCCCTCGACGCCAACGCGACCTACGCGCCCGAGGGCGCGGGCATCCTCGAGAAGGTCCGCCAGCAGAACTACCTCGCGCCGAAGAAGCGGAACCTCATGAAGTTCGCGTGAAACACCGCGATTCGACAAGGCCCGCGGGCACCTAAGGTGCGGTTTCAGCGGCGTTGTCTCGTTTTTTCGTGTGCGGATCTTCTCCACGGGTGCGAGTCGGCCCGGGTACGAGACAAGCCTCGCTTTAAATTTGGGCGCGCATTCCGCGAAACGGACCGAAGTTTTGGTGTGAAAGGGCTCGTGTGTTTGACCTCTCTTACGTTACTCTTACGTTTGGTTGACGCGACCAGTGACTGGCGGCCAATGCTGTACTTGTCAAGAAATCGAACGGACGAGGCCATCCGATTGGCTCCGCGGGCTGCCCTAAACATTGACCCTGGCTGTTTTCGTTGGTCCACGTATTCTTCGGCCTCCGCAGCGCACAGTTTTGCAAGGTCAAGTGCTGCCCCGCTCCTTCTCCGAGATGGCCGCGCTCGATGTCATCCTCGGCGGGTTCCAGGTCGTGCGCAAGGCGCAGAAGCTCGTGACGCGCGGCGCCGGGCCGCGAACTCAAAAGGAGCCGGTGAAATCGCGGGTGAAAATGGCGCGCGAGGCCGACCGGGGAGCGCGCGTCGTGCCCCTGGGCGCCGGCGCAGCGCCGCGTTCGCCGGGCGCTGCCCGGACTCGGGACGACGGGCCCGAGGAGAAACAGCGGCGCGTCATCCGTGCAAAAACGCCTCCGGAGAATCGCCGCCCGCCGCGGTTGTGACGGAGCGTCCCCCGCGGCGCCGAGCCCGCCGGCGCGGGCCGGCGGCGGCGGCGACGACGACATCGACAACTCGAACGAACGACTCGGAAATTAGCAGCCGGCGCGCGCGGCCCCCACGTTGGCCCCCCCGGCTGCCATATGTATGTGTGTACATAAGATAGTGGCACGATTCCCGCCGCGGCGGAGCGCGCGCGGCGCGATGCCGAGCTCAATGCGCGTGTCGTGTGTGGCGAGCTGGGTGCGTGGGACGCGTGTCGTGTGAGAGCAGAGGCGAGCTGGATGCGTGGGACGCGTGTCATGTGTGGAGCAGAGGTGAGCCTCCACGACCCTCCCAGGGCTAGCGCTGGCGGAGAGACTCATGTCCCTCGCCTGGGGGTTCCAAGTTGTGACCTCAGGCGGGGGTAAGGGAGCGGCGTGGTCTACTCATGCCAGGAGGCGAGCTGGGTGCGATGTCTTAAGTTCGGCGAGCTGGGTGCGATGTCTTAAAGTTCGGCGCTCGAGCTGGGTGCGATGTCTTAAGTTCGGGGGGGGGGAGGGGGGTCGACAGCGGTGCTTTCGCGGGATCGAGAGAGGGGCGGCGACGGGCCACACCCGCCGCCGCGGCGGTCCGGCGGCGCCGCCTACTCGTCCTCCTCGGCGCCCTTGAAGCCCGCCATGAGCTCCTTCTCGACGTTGGGCGGGACGAAGTCGTAGGACGCGAGCTTCATCGAGTAGGACGCGCGGCCCTTGGAGATGGAGCGGAGCGACGACACGTACTGGAACATGTTGGCGAGGGGCACGGAGGCGCGGATGGTCTTCGTGTTGCCGCGCTCGCCGAGGTCGCCGACCATGCCGCGGCGGCTGTTGATGTCGCCGATGATGTCGCCCATGTAGTCCTCGGGCGTGACGACGTCGACCTGCATCATGGGCTCCATGAGGCGCACCTTGCCCTTGCGCAGGCCCTCGCGGCAGCACGCGCGGCCCGCGATCTCAAAGGCGAGGACGCTCGAGTCGACGTCGTGGAACGCGCCGTCGACGAGCGTCGCCTTCATGCCGAGCACGGGGTAGCCCGCGAGGACGCCCGTGGAGAGGACCTGCTCGATGCCCTTCTGGACGCCGGGGATGTACTCCTTGGGCACCGCGCCGCCCTTGATCTCGGAGCAGAACTCGAAGTCCGTGCTCTCGTCGCCCTCGAGCGGGGAGAACTGGACCTTGACGCGCGCGTACTGGCCGCTGCCGCCGGACTGCTTCTTGTGCGTGTAGTCGACCTCGGCGGGCGCCGTGATGGCCTCGCGGTAGGACACCTGGGGCGCGCCGACGTTGGCCTCGACGCCGAACTCGCGCTGGAGCCGGTCGACGATGATCTCGAGGTGGAGCTCGCCCATGCCCGAGATGACGGTCTGGGCGTTCTCCTCGTCGTACTGGGCGCGGAAGGACGGGTCCTCGGCGGCGAGGCGCGCGAGGGCCTCGCCCATCTTGTCCTGGTCCTTCTTCGACTTGGCCTCGACGGCGACGGAGATGACGGGCTCGGGGAAGTCCATCTTCTCGAGGATGACGGCGTTGTCGCGGTCGCACAAGGTCTCGCCCGTCGTCGTCTGCTTGAGGCCCGCGACGGCGATGATGTCGCCCGCGCACACCGTCTTGACCTCCGTGCGGTCGTTCGCGTGCATCTGGAGCATGCGCCCGACGCGCTCGCGCTGGCCCTTGACGGAGTTGAAGACGGAATCGCCGGCGGCGAGCGTGCCCGAGTAGATGCGGCAGAACGTGAGCGTGCCCACGAAGGGGTCCGTCATGATCTTGAACGCGAGCGCGGAGAAGGGCTCGGCGTCGGACGACGCGCGCTCCATGGCCGTCTCGCCGTCGAGGGACGTGCCCTTGATGTTCTCGACGTCGTCGGGCGCGGGCATGTAGTCGACGATGGCGTCGAGGAGGGGCTGGACGCCCTTGTTCTTGAACGCCGTGCCCGTGAGCACGGGCACGAACGCGTTCGAGAGCGCGCCCGCGCGGATGCAGCGCTTGAGCGTGGCGACGTCGGGCTCCTCGCCCTCGAGGTAGGCCATGAGGGCGTCCTCGTCCTGCTCGATGGCCGTCTCGATGAGCTCCGCGCGGAACTCGGCCGCGCGCTCCTTGACCTCGTCGGACACGGGCGCGTCGTCGATGGGGATGCGGTCGAACTTGGCGCCCATCTCCTCGCCGGACCAGATGATGGCCTCGTTCGTGACGAGGTCGACGACGCCCTCGAAGTCGGCCTCGGGCGGCGTCGGCGTCGTCGCGATGGGCACCTGGAGCACCGCGGGCACGGCGCCCAGGTTGTCCTTGATCATCTGGACGCAGTTGTAGAAGTCGGCGCCCATGCGGTCCATCTTGTTCACGAAGCACATGCGCGGCACGCCGTACTTGTTCGCCTGGCGCCAGACCGTCTCGGACTGCGGCTCGACGCCCGCGACGCCGTCGAAGACGGCGACGGCGCCGTCGAGCACGCGGAGCGACCGCTCGACCTCGAGCGTGAAGTCGACGTGGCCGGGCGTGTCGATGATGTTCACCTGGTGGTCCTGCCAGTAGCACGTCGTCGCCGCGGACGTGATCGTGATGCCGCGCTCCTGCTCCTGCTCCATCCAGTCCATCGTCGCGCCGCCCTCGTGGACCTCGCCGATCTTGTAGGACTTGCCCGTGTAGTAGAGGATGCGCTCCGTCGTCGTCGTCTTGCCCGCGTCGATGTGGGCCATGATGCCGATGTTGCGGTACTTGGCGAGGTCCACCGTGCGGCCCGTGGCGTCGCTGACCTTGACGGCGTCGCTCATGCGCACGACGGTCTTCGGGCTCGTGCGCGCCGACGGCGCGACGAGGGCCGAGGCCGACGCGGCGAGGGTGGCGGCGGCGGCGAACTTCATCTTGGTCGTCTCGGTGCGCGAGGACAGCTCACAGAGACACTGACGATGCGAAGGGCGACGGCTCTGTGTTGGCGGGACTGCAAGCGCCCGAAGGAAGGTCGGGGCAGCCTGCGGACCCCCGGCCAAGCGCGCGCGCTCGGTCCAAGGTCACCAGCACGTCGGCGTCTTCCTCGCCAAGTTCGACGGCCGGCCGGTGATGCTCGTGTGCATGTCGCACCCGTGCATGCGCAGCATCGACGCCGCGTTATTCGTCTCCGAGTTCCTGCGGCTCGTCGTGCTGCGCGCGGGCGTGGAGCCGACGGCCATGGACGACTCCATCCTCATGTGGTGCGGCTACCGCCACGGATCTACAGAGCCCGCGGGATCACAGCAGCAAAACGCCCCACACATCCACTACTACGACACAGTGTTTTTACCCCTCCGCGTTCTCGCCGCCCTGCGGCAAGAGCCGCGCGAGCTTCCGCTCGAGCGACGCGCGGTTCACCTCCGTCGCGTCGGCGCGCTTCGAGTCGAGGAGGAAGCGGCCGTTGGAGAACTTCATGCGGCTCGTCACGCGCTTGATCGTGTAGGCCGAGTCGGACCCGTCGTCTTTCACGACTTTCAGGATGTCGCCGCAGCCGGTCGTCGGCGACAGCGCGAAGACGCCGACCATGTTGCGCGGCGGCGTCGTGTCGTAGACCTCGTAGGGGTACCGCTCCTCGCTCATCTTCTTCTTCGCGCTGAAGACCGTCGCGTTGCTCGACAGGTCGGCGGCGTCGACGTCGTCGTCGGACGCGAGGAGCGGTCGCCTCCGCGTCGTCGTCGTCCGCTGGACGATTCGGTGCGGCAGGCGCGGCTGCAGCGCCAGCGCGGCGAGCGCCGTGCACGCGAGGGCCACGACGGCGCGGAGAAGCGCCATGGGTGCGACGAAGCGGCACAACTCGGCGGCCGCGGATGCGAGTGACGGTGCTCTCTGAGTCGATTGGCCGACCTTGCCCTACCACATCCAACGCGCCCCGCCGAGAGTTACGATGGGCGGTAGCTAGCAAGGATAAAGGGTAGCGCAAGCAAGCAAAGGAGCGAAGAAGGACCACTCGTAGAGCGCGGTCGCGCGCCGCCCTGTGAGCGGCGCGGCGATGCCGGAGCGCCCCAGGAGACCGAAAGATGACCCCCCACCGCTCCAGCAGGACTTCTCCAAGACCGTGCAGCGGAACCCGTCGGATGCCGTCTCGAGGGCGGCGAACCCGCCGCCCGGCCCGCCGCCGACCGTGCCGCCGGCGCTCGCGTCCGAGTCGCAGCTCCGGAGCCGGAAGCGGCCGCCGCCGACGGGCGAGCCGCCCGCGGACGCCGTGCGGGATCTGCGGCCGCCGCCCAAGGAGCCGCTCCACATCCCCGGGCCCGACGCGAGCCAGGTCTACGCCGTCACGCGCGACCCGCCGCCGTCGGCCGCCGCGGCGCCGCGGGGCGGCGCGCCGCCGCCGCGGAGCGGCGCGCGGGGCCCGCCGCCGCGCGGCGCGCCTCCGTCGCGCGGGCCCGGCCGGGGCCCGCCGCCCCGGGGCGCGCCGCCGCCGCGCGGGCCCGGCGCCGCCGCGGCGTCCGCGGCGTCCGAGGAGCCCGACGTGAAGCAGGCGCTCATCGCGCGCGCCGCCGAGGCCAAGACCGGCGGCCGCCACGCGCCGCCCATGATGCAGCCCGGCGCGCGGCCGACGGCGCCGGGCCAGCCGCCGCCGCGGCCCATGCCCCGCGGCATGGCGCCGCCCCGGGGCAAGCCGCCGGCCGTGCGCCACGACGCCGAGGGCCACGTCGTCCACCCGCACGACCAGCCCTCCGCCGCGCCCGACGCCAAGGCGGCGCCCGGCGCCGCCGCGCCCGCGGTCGCCGCGGCCGCCGGCGCCACGGGCGTCCCCGCGGCCGCCGGCGCCAAGGGCGTCCCCGCGGTCACCGCGGCGGCCGGCGCCAAGGGCGTCCCCGCGGCCGCCGCGGCCGCCGGCGCCAAGGGCGTCCCGGCCGCCGGCGCCAAGGCGACGGCCGGCGGCGCCAAGGGCGTGCCCACGTCGAGCGCCCAGCTCCCCGCGGGCGCGGGCACGCTGGCCGTGCCGCCGTCGGCCTCGCCCGGCGCGGGCGCGCCCGCGGAGCCCAAGGCGCCGCCGCCGGGGCAGGGCCCGCCGTCGCCGCCGGCGCCGACGAAGCGCGGTTTCGACGCGAGCGTGTCGCGCGAGTCCACTTCGACGCGAGCGTGCCGATCGCTCGTTCGCTCGATCGCTCGTCCCCGGAGTCGCGCGGAAGACGACCGAGCCCGCGCAGGCCCCCGCGCGGCGCGCCGCCCGACGCGATCGCGACGGCCGGCGAGCCGTCGACGGCCATCGTCAAGAAGGGCAAGCCGCCGAGCCGCGAGGCGCGGCTCAAGCCGCCCTACCGGCCGCCGCCCGGCGCGCCCCGGGGCAAGCCGCCGCCGCGCGGCGCGCCGCCGGGCTGGCGCGGCGCGGGCGCGGAGCCCGAGCCCGAGGAGGAGGCCGAGTCGACGGTCGAGATGATCAAGGGCGCGCCCAAGGGCCGGCGGCCGCCGCCCACGGCGCCGCCGGCGCGCGCGCCGCCGGTGGAGCCGCCGACGCTCCGGGCCATCCGCCCGAAGCCGCCGGACGACGCGCCGCCCGAGGCCGCGTTCGGCAGCGACGACGAGTCCGTCGTGCCCGGCCCGCCCGACGCCGAGCTGCCCATCGGCAACGCCGACGGCCGCGCGCCGGACCCGCCCACGGACCAGCCGCCCGACGACGGCGTGCCGCCGCCGCCGCGCGACGCGCCGCCGCTCTCGGGCGTGCCGCCGCCGCCCGCGGACGCGCCCATCAGCTCGCTCGCCGGCGCCGACGCGCCCCAGGGCGACATCGACGAGCACCTCGCGCGCACGGTCAAGGCCGGCCGCCTCAAGATCCGCTGCATCGAGGCGCTGAACATCCACCGCCACGGATCCAAGGCCGAGAAGACGAAGATCGACGCGTTCCTGCGCTTCACGCTCGGCAAGCACAAGAAGGCGCCCCGGAAGAAGACGAAGATCCAGCGGCGGAGCAACCACCACCCGAAGTTCGAGGACGAGGAGATCCGCTTCGACATGATCGACCCGACGGACTTCATCACCAAGGGCGACATCGACCTGACGATCGAGCTCTTCGACCAGAACGCCTGGAGCGACGAGCTCATCTGCCACACGAACATGAGCATCCTGCGCTTCATGGTCGAGAACGACCCCGTCGTCGAGACGCTGCCCATGATCATCGAGCACGAGACGACGAGCGACAGCGGCGTGCGCCTCGAGTTCAGCTTCGACCCCGCGGTCGTCGGCATGTGCGTCTTCACGTTGTACGAGGGCCGCAACCTGACGAACATGGACAGCGTCGGCAAGCAGGACCCCTACGTCAAGCTCACGCTCGGCGAGGACTACAACAAGCAGTCGAAGACGATCACCGACGGCGGCACGGACCCATACTTCGAGGAGGAGGAGATGGTCATGTGGATCGACGAGAAGGGCTGGACCAACGATCTGCTCGTGCAGGTCTTCGACGAGGACATCGGCACCGACGACCTCATCGGCCAGTGCCACGTGCCGCTGCTGCCCTACATGATGGTCCGGCCGCAGCACGCCAAGGAGCAGGTCTTCGAGCTCTTCAACAAGGTCGAGGCGGAGCACCGCGGCGAGCTCCTCATGAAGCTCCAGTTCCTGCCCGCGGGCAAGCTCACGATCCACTGCCTCACGGCGAAGAATCTGCGGAGCCGCGACACGCTCGGCCGCCAGGACCCCTACGTCGTCTTCACGGTCGAGGGCGAGTGCCAGTCCATCTCCAAGCGCACCCACGTCGACCAGGACGGCGGCAAGGAGCCCCAGTGGAACGAGGTCATCGACATGAACGTCGTCGACCACCACGAGCTCTGGATCGAGTGCCACGACCACGACGTCATCTCGTCGGACGACTTGATCGGCAAGTGCCGCATCTCCCTGCTCCCCGTCTTCAAGCGGGGCCACGTCGACACGTGGATCACCATCAAGGAGGAGAGCGAGTGGGGCAAGCCCAAGCCCGCGGGCGACATCCACCTCATCTTCGAGTTCGAGGCGCCGTCGGGCATCCGCTACCCGCAGCACTGCCCGGGCGTCGACAGCTTCGACGAGACGGACCGCGTGTCGAAGACGCGGGAGGCGCTGAAGGAGGCCCAGAAGATGCAGCAGGAGGAGGGCGAGAAGGTCGAACTCGCGGACCAGATCCTCGACCGCGCGAAGCCGCCCAAGGTCCGGACGACGGAGTTCTCCGACGCGGAGATCGAGGCGGCCTTCAAGTTCATCGACCTCGACAAGAACGGCTACATCGGCGCGTCGGAGATCCGCCACGTCCTCGTCTGCATGGGCGAGCTCATCACCGACGAGGAGGTGGACATGATGATCAAGATGGTCGACAACGACGGCGACGGCCAGGTGTCCTACCACGAGTTCTACGACGTCGTCACGGACCCGGACCCGGCGCACACGGACTTCCTGGCCAAGGAGGACCAGAACGAGGCGCCGGGCGACGGCGAGAAGATGGACGCCAAGGCCCACGAGCGCCACAAGGAGCTGAACCTCCGGAACCGGAAGCGCGAGATGATGGAGCAGTTCGTCACGGAGAACTCCGTGGGGCCCGCGGAGGTGCTCCACACGTACCAGAAGTACCGCCAGCTCCCCACGGAGCGCAAGGTCAACGCGCTCGTCGACTTCGAGACCTACTGCGAGATCCTGTCCATCGAGCCGACGGGCGAGACGCACATGCTCTTCTCGCTCTTCGACGTCGAGGCCGACGGCGTCCTCGACATCAAGGAGTTCATCCTCGGCATGTGCAACTACGTGCCCATGGACCAGGACCAGCGCATCGAGCTCGTCTTCGACCTCTACGACGAGGACAAGTCGGGCTTCCTCTCGCTCTCGGAGCTCACGGGCATCCTCCAGGCGAACCACATGCAGTCCAAGCAGGCCGTGCGCAAGAAGGCCGACACGATCATCAAGCAGGCGGACAAGGACGGCTCCGGCACGCTGAGCCGCCAGGAGTTCGAGGTCGTCTCCCTCAAGTTCCCCTCCGTGCTCTTCCCCAAGCTCGCGAAGAAGGGCGACGAGGAGACGAAGACGCTCGACTCGGGGTCCCAGCTCATGCTCGAGTAGTAAGCGTCCTACGTGTTTACCACGTCGCGCTCCTCAGTTCGCCGCCGCGGCGAAGGCCGCGGCCTCGGCCCAGCGCCGCTGCGTGACGAGCTTCTTCAGCTTCCGCCGCTGCGCGTCGTCGGGCGCCGCGACGAGGCCGTGGACGTAGGCCGAGATGAGCCGCTCCTCGTAGGACGCGCCCGACTTGGGGCCGTACTTGTGGTTGCTCTCCAAGTCGTCCGGCGCGTCGCAGACGCGATCGACGAACGCGAAGACGGCCGCGACGTCCTCGTCGAGGACCCGCTGGCCCTTCTCGGCGTAGCCCACGAGCCGGTGCGTCGCGACGGGCACGAACTCGTCGTCCTCCTCGTCGCGCACGAAGTTGAGCCGCCGGCCGCCGACGTCCCGCGGCGTCGCCTTTTGCTTGTTCGCCGCCTTCCGCGAGCTGTCGGTCACGCGCGCGACGGCGACGGCGTCCTTGCCGCGCTTCTTCGAGGGCGTCGAGGGACCTGCGCGCGCGGGGCGTCGAGGCGCGCGCGCGCGGCGCGCGCGGCGCTGGAAACGTCCGTAAACGTCGGAGAGCGTTTCGGGAGAGCGCGCGCGTCTTTGAGGGGGTTTTGACGACGCGGGTTTCGCGCTCGCCATGGGCTTCGGCAAATCCCTCCCTCCTGGGCTCGTGGGTGGGCTCTTTCTCATGCGATTTCGCGCTGCGCGCGCGTCGACCGGAGCTCGTCGCGGCGCGCTCTCTCCTGAGTTTGACCGCCGCCGCCGCGCCGAGCCGACCGTGCTGCTCGACTCGATCGCACTTGCCGCCGCACCTCGTCGTCGTCCCTGGCCGGAATCTGCACGTCCGTCGGCGGGCAGACGCGCCTCCAGCCATGCGCCGCGCGCTCGTCGCGCTCTGCGCCGTCGGCTGCGCCGATGCGCTGCAGCTCCGGCCCCAGGTCCGCGCGCCGCGCCACCGGCAGCGCCTCCAGCGTCGGAACCTCGTCCAGCCGGCCTCGGCGCAGCCCGTGGAGCCGCGGCCGCCCTACGCCCTGAGCGGCCTCGAGCGGCCGAAATATCGCGGCGCGGCCATGGGCTGGCTGCACAACACGGGCCAGTGGTACGCGCTGTCGGCGGCGTACGTCGCCGCCGTCGCGCAGCAGCTCCCGAAGCCGCTGAACTACGGGTCCCTGGCCCTGCGCGTCGCGCTCGTCGCCGCGAGCTCCGCGAGCGTCTACATCAGCGACGGCTACCACAACGCGGACAAGCGGCGCGAGGGCGTGTCCGAGGCGGGCGAGCTCGGGTGGCTCCGGTGGGACTACATGGGCATCTCGCTGATCCTGTCGACGAACTTTTGGCTCTGGGCGTCGAACCTGGGCTGGGTCAGCGGGCTGGGCGCGCTCGGCTGGGCGTCGGCGGCGGCGACGCTGAACATCGGCCTCTGGGCCTGGGGCGTCGTGCCCAAGTACTTTGGCCACGTCGCCGTGAAGTTGACGCTCGCGGCGCAGTTCGCGGGCCTGCTCCTCTACCTCGTCATCGTCGCGCTGCGGTCGCCGTCGCCGGCCTGCAGCCTCATCTACGCGAGCTACGTGCCGGGCTTCATCCTCTACGCGACGAAGTTCCCGAAGAAGGGCAAGTTCGGCTACCACGAGTACTTCCACTCGTCCGTGCTCCTCGGCCACCTCGTCTCCATGGGCTTCGACCTCCACCTCCTCGGCCTCTTCTAAGGGACACACAACGCGTTGTTAGAAGTAGGCGGCCACGTCCCGGCCGGGCTTCGCGAAGAGCCAGTCCTCGACGAGGACGAAGTCGAGGTCGTCGAGGTCGTCGAGCATGGCCAGCGCCGCGGCGACGGTGTTGCAGATGGGCTTGCCGCGCGTGTTGAAGGACGTGTTGATGAGGGCGCCGAGGCCCGTGAGCGCCTTGACGGCCAGGAGGAGCGCGTGGACCCAGGGCTCGTCCGCCGGGCCGACGGACTGGTGCCGCGCGGTGCCGTCGAGGTGCGCGAGCGCGGGGAAGGCGCGCGCCGTCGCCTCCGTGAGCCGCGGCGCGAGGCTCATGTAGGGGCTCCGCACGTCGGCGCCGAACGCGGCCTCGAGGTCGTCGTCGGCGATCATCGGCGCGACGGGCCGGTACCACTCGCGGAACTTGAGCCGGTTCATGCGCGCGCGGACCTCGTCGGTGTCGGGCACGGCGACGAGCGACCGGTGGCCCAACGCCCGCGGGCCGTACTCCTGGCGGCCGCGGACGATGGCGATGATCGGCTTCCTTCCGGAAGCCGCCGCGTCCGAGTTCAGCAGCTTGGCGAGGAAGTCGACGCCCCCGAGCGCCTCGAGGCTCACGGCGCCGCGCGCCGCGGCGGCGCCGGGGAGCGCGTCGAGGTCCCAGAGCCGGAAGCCCGCGTACTGGTGGTGGACGACGGTCCTCGACGGCGGCGCGAGCGCCCAGGCGCCGCCGGGCCCGAGGCCGCCGTCGTTGGGGCTCGGCGGCACGAAGAGCTCGACGCCCAGCGCGTCGCGCACGGCCTGGTTCGCGAGCACGTTCAGCGCGCAGCCGCCCGTCAGCACGACGCCGTCGACGGCCGCCGCGCCGCCGACGTGCGCCAACAGTTGCCCCACGATGTCGACGACGAAGCGCTCGAACATGAGCTGGGCCGTCGCCGCGACGTCCCGGAGCGCCTCCGGGGACCCGTCGGCGCACGCGACCCGCTGGAGCTCCGCGCCGTAGACGCGCGGCAGGTGGCCGTAGCGGCCGCCCTGCGACGCCGCGGACTCCTCGAACCAGTCGTAGAGGTCCAGCAGCAGCTCGTCGCGCGGTGTGCCCGCCGCCGCGAAGCCCATGAGCTTGCCCGCGAAGCCCAGGCGCCCCTTGAGCTCGCGCAGGTCCTCCGGCTTGTCGAAGAACTCGACGCCGCCGTCGCCCGCGGCCCGCGCGTCGCCCGCGGCCCGCGTCGCGTCGCAGAAGAAGTCGAGCGCCGCGCGCGTGCCCGCGACCTCGGGCAGGAGCTCCGCGATGTTCGTGTAGGCCTCGCCGAAGTTGTAGTCGAGCGTCGCGAGCTTCGTCAGCGTGCCCCGCGCCGCGTAGTACGCGAGGAACGCGCCGTCGTTGCCGCCGCCGTCGAAGGACACGACGAGCGCGCTGCGGAAGGGCGACGCCTCGTAGGCGCCCGTCGCGTGTGCCCTGTGGTGGTCGACGATGGTCCACTCGCCGACGGCGTAGAAGCGCTCGACGAGCTCCGGCAGGTGCAGGTACGGCTGCACGTCCGTCTGGTGCTTCATCTCGTCGTCGGACCAGGTGCGCACGACGGCGCCGTGGGCGAAGCCGCGGATGTGGCGGCCGTCGGGGCCTACCGAGCTCGTCGGTAACGATGTTTCATCGGGTTCCCACCCGAAATCTCTCGAGAAGTCGTCGCAGCCGCAGGACGCTGGTCGGGGCCCCGGCACTCGTCCGCGGCCGAGACGACCTCGAGCGCGCGGAGCCAGTCGGCGGAGAACTCTTCGTGCGTCCGCGGCGACATGTAGTAGCGCCGCTCGAAGAGGCGCTCGAGCTCGAGGACGCAGACGACGTTGCCGTCGCCGTCGGTGAGGGCGACGTTGGCGTCGTGGCCCGTGTAGAGCGCGATCGCGCCGCCGCTCGCCGCGGGCCGCGGCCGCGCGGGCCGCTGGAGCCGCAGGCCCTCGCCGTGCTCGAGGCTCGGCGCCCGGCCGAGCTCCTGCTCCAGGGCGGCGACGATGTCCTTGAGGATGCAGCCGTCGCGCGTGCAGCCCGTCGCCGTGCGGCCCGTGATCTTGTTGCGCCGGCTGAAGTCGCGGGCCGCCGTCCAGGCGTCCGAGGCCTCCGGGTCCCAGGTCAGCGTGCGGATCTCGTTGCCGTAGACATCGTTGTTCGTCTGGATCGGGATCTCCACGACGCCGTCGTCGAAGACGACGCCGGACACGGCGACGCACAACGCGAGGATCCGGCGCTCCATCGCGTTCGACCTGGGGCTGCCTGTTCAAGCAAGGGTTCAACGTTAGGCGCGGCGGACCGCACCCCTAGCTGCGCGCCTTGACGACGCCGACCTGGGCCGCGCGGATGACGCGGTCGTGGAGCTTGAAGCCCGTCTTGACGACCTGGCCGACGGTCTTCTCGTCCTTGTCCGGGTCGTCGTACTCGAAGAGGGCCTCGTGGAGCGCCGGGTCGAAGGCGTCGTCGGCGGCGCCGTACTCGACGAGCCCGTTGGACGCGAAGGCCTTGACGAGCTGGTTCTTCGTGAGCTCGACGCCCTCGCGGAGCTTGTCGACGGTGAGCTCCGCGTCGTCGTCCGCGGACTTGAGCGCGTAGCTCAGCGAGTCGGACACGTCGAGGATCGACTTGGCGAAGGACGTGGCCGCGAAGTCCTTGGCGTTGCGCACGTCTCGCCGCGCGATGGTCCGCGTGTTCTCCGCCTCGGCGATCGCGCGGAGGAGCTGGTCCTTGAGCTCCTTCGTCTCCTCCTTGGCCTTGGCCGCCGCCGCCTCGGCGACCTCGAGGGCGCTCGGCTCCGCGTCCGCCGCGGCCGCCGCCTCGGGCTCCGCCGCCGCGGCCTCCGCCGCGGGCTCCTCGGCCTTCGCCTCGCTCTCCGGCGCCTTGCTGGACAAGGACCGCACGCCGGGCGCACCGCACCGCGCCGGGCGCCGGAGCGTCGCGTTCGGCCGCGCCGCGAGCCGCGACGGCGCCGCGCACCGCGTCGAGCGGACGAGGAGCGGCGCGGCGCGGCGCATCATGGCGGACATCGTCGTCGTGGCGGCCGCTTCGCCGATCGATGTCTTGGCAATGCATTAATGGTGATAATCGTGCAGCTCATGTTGCCCCTCGACGGAGTGGGGCTCGCGTGCTCGCACACAGCCTTACGGCGCGCTCACGCGACGACGCAGCAGACCTTCCCGCAGTCGTCGCCGTCGCCGCCGCCGTCCTTCTTGTCGAGGAGGATGGGCGCGACCTTGGCGCGGGGCTTCCGCTCGCCGTCCGCGGACGGCCACCGGTTCAGCTCGACGCCCGTCTCCGAGGGCCGCCAGGCCGGCGTCGGCGGCTCGCCCGCCGGCGCGGGGGCCTCGGCCTCCGCGGCGATGGGGTTCGCGACGCCCTCGTCGTCGTCGTCGTCGTCGTCCGCCGCGGGCTCGGGGAAGTCGTCGATCGGCGCCGCGGCCGCGTCGCCGTCGTCGAGCGGCGCCAAAATATTGGCGACGGCGCCGCGCAGGGCCGCGAGCCAGGCGTCGAAGGCGTCGCCCGTGGGTGCCCTTGCGACGACGCAAGGCGCCTTGGCGCGCTCGGGCACGAGCGTGAAGGCGAACATCGCGGGAAACGACCCGTTCGCGTCGCGCCTGCGTGGACATCGACCGCCGGTTCGGGACGTCCCGACCGAACTTTGAAATGCTCGAGCTCGGTCACATCGAAGTCGATTCGGCTGATTTTTGGACGGATCGATGGCTCGCATCGGGTTCTCGAAGCCCAGCCGAAGCGTTTGTGTCAAGAGTACGAGCACATGGAAGTCGGGTTGATGATTTGAGTTCCGCGCGGCCGTCGCGCGCGCCGCCGACGGACGGCCGCACGCAGTCCGCGCCGTCGACGGAGCTCGACGCGGGCCGCGACGCGCCGTCGTCGCCCTCGCGCACGCCCCGCAGGAAGCAGGACCCGACGGCCCGCCGCTTCGCGCGCGCGTCGCCCTCGTTCGCGTAGAAGACCGCGAGGCCGCCGCGCAGGACGACGTAGCGCCGCGCGGTCGCGCCGCCGTTGGAGCAGTCGAGCACGCCCTCGAAGGACGCGCCGAGCTGGGCGCCCGCCTCGAAGAGGGCGTCGTCGCCTCTGAGCGCCGCGAGCCACGCGGCGCGCTCCGGCGCGGACCGCGCGCACATGAGGAACGCGCCGTCGGACCGCTTCTTGCCGCCTGGGCAGCACAAGAGTGATTCAAAGTCGCTTCAACGTGAGTGTTCCGCGCGCGCGCGTTCCGAAAGAAGCATCCACGCTTCGAGACCGTTCCGAGAGATGATCGCTCGTCCAAAAATCAGCCAAAACGAGTGGGAAACGGCCGAGATATGAGCCTTTGAAGTTGGGAATTTCGCTCTCTTTTGCTGCCCTGCTTGCCGCCCGCGGGCACGTCGACGAAGAGGCCGTAGCCGTGGTGCGCCGTGTCGGCGTCGTCGTAGGCGTGGGCGCCGACGACGTCCACGGACCCCTTGGCGGCCTTCGCGGGGTCCTCGTCCTCGTAGTACGACAGCGCGCCGCCTTTGAAGACCGCGAACCGCTTCTTCCACGACTTGACGGAGCTGCCCCCTTTTTTCGTGATCCACCCACTGTAGGTCGCGTCGCCGACGCCGCGGGCCGCGAGCAGCTCCGCCGCGCGGCGCAGCGCCGCGCGCGCCGCGCGCGGCTCCGCGGCCGCGCGAAAGGCGCGCCGCGCGTCCCCGTCCGCGAAGGCGAGCGCGAAGACGCGGTCCGGCGCCGTGAGCCGGAGCACGGCGCCGTCCTTGCCCGCGGCGCCGTCGGCGAAGTCCGACACCTCCGCGAGGGCGATGCTGCCCTTGACCTCGTAGCTCGCCGCGAGGGTCGGCGCGTCGATGGGGCCCTCAGTCTTGGGGCCGGCGTAGTAGTCCACGACGGCGCCGGTGACGACGAAGTAGCGCGCCTTGAAGGCGTCGAACTTGCCGTCGCCCCGCTTCTTCGCCCAGCACCCGTAGTCCTCCATCATTTCCAGGATCCTTGGCTCCCCATGCGCCGCAAAGGGCTGCACATTGGGGTGCAACAAGCCGATGTTTGCGTTTTTGCCAATTGGATTTTGCGCGTCCTCGCCGTAGATCAGTGGCAAGCCTGGTGCGCGACAACAACAGCCGCGCCACACACAGATCCTCGCGGCGCGCACCCCGCTGGGCGGATCGCGATGGGGTGTAGCGCGAGCAGGGATCCGGCCGTCGCGCAACAGGCACGGGCGCCGCCGTCGGCCGTGGCCCAGGGCCAGTACTTCGAGGAGATGGAGGCGGAGCCCACGGGCCCGGACCTGCGCGAGGACACGCCCTACGTGTGGTACTGGGAGGAGGACGCGCACCGCCTCGCGAACCACAGATTCTGGGACAAGCAGGGCAACTTCGTCGCGTACCCGCCCAAGGTGTCGACGTACCTCGAGGCCCAGTTCCAGAGCGGCAAGAGCGCGGACGCCTTGGACATCACGTACAAGGCGTTCCACGCGCACACGGGCTACTCCTACGGCGTCGACTTCCGCGAGATGAAGCAGATCAACAAGGGCACGGGCTACCGGCGGACGATCATGCGCCGCCAGAACCCGCACTATCAGCCGACCGTCGTCCACGCCGTCTACGCCGCGCCCGTCGAGGCGGGGGAGGGCGCCGTGCTGCAGGCGCGCGCCGTCGAGCGGCCGCAGACCTACGGCCCGCCGCCCGCGGAGCGCCTCTTCAGCGGCGCGGTGCTCAAGCACATCCCGCTCGCGGACTTCGAGAAGGAGATCGCCGGCTGCGACGTCAACTACGAGGCCAAGGCCGGCGGCACGCTGCTGACGTGGGCCGCGGAGAACCACCGCGCGGACCTGTGCCGGTCGCTGCTCGACAAGCACGCGGACCCGACCAAGGAGGACTGGACGTCGAGGCAGACGGCGCTCCAGTGGGCCCAGAACACGGTCGCCGTCGGCGAGGACGCGGCGACGGCCAAGACGAACCGCGACGCGACGATCGCCGTGCTCCGCGAGGCGACGCCGGGCGACTAGGGGGCGCTCGGCGTAAGTGCTCCGTTACACGAGCCCGATCTTACACGAGCCCGATCTCCTCGGAGTGGAGGGCGACGACCATGCCGGCGTCGCCGTGGCCCGTCGCCGGCCGGCTCGGCGACGTGCCCGGTCGACTGTCGCCGTGGCCCGTGCCCGGCCGGCCCTCGTCGAGCATGGACGCGGAGACGAGGTCGAAGCAGAGCAGGAAGGCCATCGGCGAGTCGCAGAAGTCCAGGCCCCGGTCCTCGCAGAGCTCGGCGACGCGGTCGCCGAACCACTGGCTCAGTTCGTCGAAATCCAGGCGCATGGTCACGTCCTTGCCGAAGCGCGCGAACGCGCGGTCCGCGTGCGGCTCGAGGCCCGCGTCCTGCGGCAGGTCGCCGCGCCGCGTCATCAGGACGGCGCCGCTCAGCATGGAGAAGAGCATGACGCAGACCTCGTCGTAGTTCAGCGACCCCTGGCCGTTGAAGTCGAAGACGCGCAGCGCGAACGCGGCCTTCGCCTCCAGGGTGCCGTGGCTCACGACGGCCAGGCCCCCGAGCACCTCGAGCACGTTCACCTCGCCGCCCGAGTTGTACTCGGCGAATCGCGGCCAGAGCACCTGCTCGACGACGTCCCCCGTCTCGTGGGGCAGCACGGACTGGACGATCTCGCGCAGCTGCTCCTTCTCGAGCCCAAAGTCGTGGTTCCCGGCGAGGTAGCGCTCGCGGATCGCCTCGACGTGCTCGAGGCGCCACGTCGTCGGGTCCACCTCGTTGACGAGGTACTTGCGCTGCGCGCCCGTCGCGTTTCCCATGGTCGTGATCTAGCTAGCGTCAGGCAGCCGTCTTTATCGATCAGCTACCGCTCCATCGATCAACGCATCGGGCAGCTACTGCAACATTCCTGCAAGATCTCGGCAGTTTTGGCCTCACTCGCCGAGTCCGCGGGCGCTCTCCCAAGTACTGAGAACGATCGCGCTGCGTTGCGTTGCGCAATGAGCCAGCAGCGATTGCAAGACGTCCGCGACACGCATGCGTTGGACGTGCAGTACGACAAGCAGTTCCTGCAGCGCAACGAGGCCACGGCGCTCTTCAAGGCGCTCACCGCGGCCAAGGCGGACGGCGGCGAGGGCCTGGGCGTGCTCGGTCCGCGCGGTGGTTTGCATCGCTCGTTTTGCGTTGGGCTGCGCGACGGCGTGTGCTACGACCTGCGGCCCTGGCATTCGAGCGGGACGTGCGCGGCGCTTTACGACTACGGCGTCAAGATCGCGCGGCACCTCGGCCTCGACCGCGACTTCGACTACTGCGTCGTCCAGCTCTTCCAGAACAAGCCCGGCTACAAGACGGGCATGGCGGCCCACACGGACGACGAGCAGTCCGACATCTCGCCCATCGTCGGCCTGTCGCTGTTCGAGGAGCCCGCCGCCACGCGCCCGCTCGACCTCGTGAGCGGCGAGCGGCTCAAGAAAGACCGCGTCGCGCACCGCATCGACCTCGCGCACGGCAGCTGCTACGCGCTCCTGCCGCCCACCAATTCTTGGTGGAAGCACGCGCTGCCCAAGCGCGTGGCGACGCGCGTCAGCATCACCTACCGCCGCGCGCCCCGGACGCGCCGCGTGTCCTTCCCCAAGCACCCGTCCGAGATCGTCGAGATCTCCTCCGACTCGGAGCCGGAGATCATCGAGATCGCCTACTCCGACTCCGACGACGACTCCGTCGTGGACTTGACGCTGTAAGCTCGTTTAGTCCCGCGCGAGCGCCGCGGCGATCTCGTCCCCGAGCGCCCGGAGCCCCGGGCGGAGGCCGCCGAAGGCCGGCGGCCGGCCCGCGAGGACGCTCGCCGCCGCGGGCCGCACGAGCTCGCGGTCCACCTCCGAGACGCCGGCGAAGGCCGCGACCCGGGCCGCGAGCGTCGCGTTCGCCGCGGCGTCGCCGGCGGCGGCCCAGCGGAGCGCGCGCCACGCGAACGCCGCGTGGCGCCGCTCGTCGTCGGCGACGCGGCGCAGCGCGTCGACGACGAAGCCGTGGCGGCCGTCGAGGTCCCGCGCGGCGTCGGCGGCGTCGCGCTCCGCGCGCGCGGCGGCCGCCGTCTCCGCGACGCAGCCGGCGTCGAAGGCGTCGACGACGACGGCCGCGCGCGGCGACGGCGCGGCCCTCCGCCGTTCCGCCGCGTCGTCGACGGCCAACGCCATGGGCGCGGCCGCCGCGCCCGCGAGGCGGGACGCGACGGCGTAGGCGTCCTCCGCGTGCCGGACCTCGTCGGCCATGCCCCGCGCGGCCTCGGCGAGCAGGCCGAGCGGCGCGCCCGCGGCCGCCAGCAGCAGCGCGAAGGACGCGAAGGACGCCGTCGACGCGTGCTCCGCCGCCGCGCGCGCGGCCCACACCCGCGCGTCGAGCCAGCCGCCGTCGCCCCCCGCGGGCGCGTCGCCGGCCCACGCGGTCTCCGCGACGGCGCCGGACGCCTGCGGCCGGCCGTAGACGCAGCCGCTGCTCCAGGACGACGGCGCGCGGCACGCGGCGCCCGACGACGTGCACGGTGCGGCCGCGCCCGTCGCCGCGTCGACGCAGCGGATCGCCGCGCCGTCGTAGGTCGCGTTGACGGCCGCGTCGTGGGCGAGGACGACGTGGACGACGCCGTCGGAGAGCGCGCAGGCGCCGCAGGCGTCGGCCTCGTCCGCGCGCGCGCCGAGCAGCAGCCCCGCGGCGAGGCCCGCGAGGAGCGGGCGCCGCGAGCCCGCCGCGACGACGGCGACGGCCGCGGACGTCTCGTTCCAGGACCACCAGGCCTCCGTCGGCGCGGCCGTCGGCGCGGCCGCGGTCGTCGCCAGCGACGGCCCGCCGCCGAAGCCCGCGGCCTCGGCGTCCGCGAAAGCCGCCGACGCGCCCGCGGCCGCCGCGGCGGCCGCGAGCGCGTCGTCGAAGTCGTCGGCCGTCGTCGACGCGAAGATCGACGCGACGCGCGCCGCCGACAGGTCCGTCGCCGCGCGGATCTCGTAGGAGACGACGACGCCCCCGCCGCCGTCGTCGAGGCGGCGACGTCGCTCCGCGCGCGCCGACAGCTCCACGGCGACGTCCTCGACGGCGACGTCCGCGACGGCCGCGACGGCCGCCGCGACGACGTCCGCGTGCGCCGCGACGTCCGCCAACTCGACGCCGAGGAGCAGGAACTCGCCCGCGACGGCTTTCGCGGCGGCCGCGGGCGCGGCCGTCGGCGCCGCGGCCGGCGCGGCGCTCTCGTCCATGCACCGCGCGCGGTCGGGGGTGGCGCAGTACATCTTCGTGCACGCGAGGCCCCCGCCGAGGCGCCGGCAGTGGTTGCAGCCGTCGTACCTGCGCGCGGCGGTGAAGCAGGGAACGACGCACGAACGGTGTTCCGGCGCGACATCGACGGACGCCGGAAGGGGCACCAGCGCTGGCAGCCGTCGTCGACGCAATTACCGTAGGCGTCGTAGAGGTCGCACGAGAGGGCCGCGGTCTCGGGGCCGTCGCCGGCCGCCGTCGGCGCGGCCGTCGCGACGCCGATCGTCGCCCGGATCTCTTCCGCGCGCTCGTCGTAGCAGGACGCCTCGAGGCTCACGGCCAGGACGCCGCCGCAGGCCGCGGGGCACGACTCGGACGCGAGCGTCCCGTCCGCGCCGCCGACGGCGCAGCGTTGCTCCGCGTAGCCCGCGACCCAGGGGCAGTCCTTCCAGGGCGCGCCGTTCTTCGACCAGGACGCCGAGTCGGCGAGGTGCTCCGCGGCGACGTCGACGCGTCGCCCGAAGGTCCCGACGCACTCCGACGGGTCGCACCAGTAGCCGCAGCAGCCCTCGGCGCCGGAGAAGTCGAGCGGCACCGCCGCGAGGAACGGGCACGGCGGCGACGAGCCCCAGAAGCCCCACATGCTGTAGGTGCCGCCGACCCAGTGGTCCCGGGCCTCGTCGAGGGGCACCGTCGTCACGGAGAGCGTCAGCCCGGCGGCCTCGAAGGCCGTCGCGTCGATGGTGATCGTGCTCGCGTTGTTTGAATGCATTATCGACGCGCTCGGCTGGCACCCGTCGGGGTAGCACACGTTCGATGCTGTCGCGAGAGCGAGCGATGCGGCGCAGATCAAGGCGCGCATTGTCGCCACGGCCGAAGCGTTTTCGCGGAACCCCATGCTCTGCCAGCGGCTCTATAAGAGTGGGGGGGCCCCAAGTTTTGCGAAGCCCGCGCCGCAGGCGTGCCCACGGGCAACTTTACGACTGTCCGTCGGGGGAGAGCGGAACCGCAACGGCGCGATGCTACCCCTCGTTCGCGACGGTCCGTCACCCGTCCGGGGGTTCGCAACCTCGGAACCCCCGGCAACGGCCGCGCGTCTAGGGCCGCCCCGCGTTCGCGACGGTCCGTCTCCTCCCCTCGGAAGACGCCTGCCCGTCGATCGCCACGGTC